TATATTTGCTGTTGTAAATATCAGTTAGCGAAGTATATCAGAATTAGAAAATAGTTATCAGTGGTGGTTCTGATTTACCTTTGTCAACTTGAAAAATAGAGTATCACATTTTAATACCCATTTCTCCATTCAAAATGAAATAGACATTAAATGATGGAGAAAGAATTTTATATATAGATTAAGAGTAAAAAGAAAACAGGATTTATAGACAATATTATTATTTGGTTTTATCTTTTGATTGCACTGTGTCTGTATTTCCTGCATTAAATACAAAATTGTGATAACTGGTATTTTTTTATTTGGAGAACTAAGGATGTAAGAATTCTCTGTTCTAGTCTGAACTGTGAAAATTAGTCTTAAAAATGTGCAGAATTACATTTTATACATTATATAAGTAAGTTCTAGAAAATAAAACTTTTATCTTCACTCTAGAGTAATGGAAAACAATCATAGTTAACCCAATGACAGTTCATGGTAAGTAGTACAGTGTGTGTGTGTGTGTGTGTGTGTGTGTGTGTGTGTGTGTTGGGTTGGTACAGTGTTTATAATATTTTGTTCTATTTTATGATCCATAACTCATTTTTAATATCTAAAATATTGCTTGGCATGATTTTTAGTTATCTTGTACATCTGAAGGTGAATGCATACAACTGTATTAGCCCATCATTTACACATTTATTTGTTGAATGGATGAATGAATGGAAGCTAATTTTTATAACTGACTAATTTGAATTATAATTGTCATGGTGACAACTTGTTAAAAAGCTAGAGTAAGGAGGCTCTAGAAGCTTACTGTAGAAATGAAAGAAAAGTTATTAATATGCTTTAACTAGTTTCCCATTCTGAATGATAATTATGGCTACCTCCACACATCCTCCCCCAAAACCATAGAAGGTATGGGTTATTTGGGTTTCATTGTATTCCTTTTGCATTAGTGAGAGAAAGAATATCATGAACTTCAAATTACCTGTAAGTAGCAAAATCAATAACCACCAAGTTCCACCAGAACTTCCATTGCTGCTGCAAGTCTGGATGTGGAGAGTGTGGAGTGGGAAGCTTTAGAGAGTCTATGAAATGGAGGAGAGGGGATTGAAGGATTTAGGCAAAACAAAGACAAAATCACCCTCAAAAAGAGAAAGCATAACAATATGAGTCAACAAAGACTGGCTTAGTAGTTTATAGTATCAGCTGTAGGGAAGGAGTTTTAGAATGAGCAGGATTAGATGTGTCAGCCTTAGAGGAATTTTGCTTTTGGGGAAGAAGGATGTAAGTAGAGAAGGACTGATGCTTCCCTTGCAAGTGAAGAGAAAACAAGAAAAGGAAAAACTAAGGTCCTGCAAAATGAAAGAAGACACTTACCTCCCTTCCCATTCCCAATTCAAGAAACTGCACTTCACTACGTTGACAAAAGAAAGTACTCTTAAACTAAAGAGTGCTGTCCACAAAATGACTGGGAGGGAAACAAACCTAGCACCACTTTTAGAAGAAAACAGAAAATACATATTAAAACATTTCGGCTTCAATAACCTCAGGAAAGTAGCCACAAAGTAGAATAGTACAAAGTAGAACAGTATTCTAGACTAAATTAAATATTTTCAAACAAGCAAAACAATCTAGTATCCAAAATTGAAAGAGAGATGGATTTAAAGCAAAACAAATACAGTAAATATTGATCAGAGTAGGAAACAAATTGAAGAAAAAGACAAAACTGTTAGAAGTGAAGAGTAAATTATAAAGTGCTTGAAAGAGAAAAAAAATGGAATAAAAATCTAAGGGACATCAGATGAAAATAAGATAGCAAAAAAGAAGGATCTCAGAGAAAATTGTAAGGGAAGACCAGAAAAGATGTCCAATACGAGTCTGTGAAGAATAAAAACAACACAGTGAAACAAAACTTATAAACTGTATTCCAAGAAAACTTTATAGGAACAAGAGAAATTGAAATCTGCCTTTTGAAAGACCTACCATTTACCTGGACAAATTGGCCTAGAAAAATCAACTCTGGGACATTTTAGAAAGCCGTTAAATTTTAAGGATAAATTGGACTGGCATCATACTTCTGAAAAGTGACATTCAAATCATGGCACCAGAATAGCAATTTCAAGAAACCGGAAGAAAGAAAGTACAGGCCAAGGGTTCACTATCCAGCCAAGCATTCCTTCCATTATGGCAATACAAAACCAATTTTGAACATTGAAGAACTCATTGGATGTTATAATCTTGAGCCCTTCCTGTAGAGTTTATTAGACAGTGAGCTCCATCCAACCAAGGGATCACTGGGGAAGCTTCAACAAAAGGACTGTGAGCATTTGATTTATTGAATTGTAAAATTAAGGACTAATTAAAATTGTAGAAATAAGGACTACATTTTAAAAGGGTAGGGACATAGGTAGAAGAACAGTAGGAAATGTTATGTTAGACAAAATACAGAGAATATTCTTAAATAGGACAAGAAAGGGGAGAGAAAGGTAAATAGAATGAGATCATAGAGTGTTGAATAGGTAGGAAACAGTACCATGTAGAATTGGCAGGCCAGACACTACAAGCTTCAGAAAAAAAGGGAAAATCTAAAGAGAAGTAAGGGCAATAAGAAAAGTATAAGTGCATGACAAAAAAATTACTAATTTCCTAAATACCAAAAGAAAATATAAAATCAGCAAAGAATACATGCCACATAGAGAAAGGAGCATAGTAAGTTCACTTAATAGAGTAATTATAATATATAGTAGTGATTGAGATGAAACAAAACATCAGTCATATCAAATATGAATGGACTCAGTTTGCCTATTAAAAAGATTTTCAAGTTGGCTCATTAAAATTTGGTTTAGGCAAGAATCCATTAGTGAATGCTAAATATAGGGTGAAAAGTTTAAGCTCAGGGTTTTTGCATGGTCTCCTTAGAGATTTCTTATTAGCTGCAAGGGGAAAAAATAACTGTATAGTGGACAAACTGGACAACACCTCGACCATGATTGAAGTTAATATCTTCAATAAAGAGGATAGAGACATGGCCTACGACTGTGGTACCCTTAAAAGGACATATCATTACTTAGGTGTTAGTGTAGAAAGGTATGATAATCTAAATCTAAGCATGAGGAACATTAGAGAAACTCATATTGTGGAACATTTTATAAAATAGCTGGCCTCTGCAAAAAAAAAAAAAAGAGTCATGAAAGAAAGGCTTTGGACTGTTCCAGAAAAAAGGGAATATGGAGAGGCAGCAGCCAGATGCAATCTGTGACCCTGGATTCCAGTCTGTACTGAAGGGGAGAAATGCTATTAGGATAATTGACAGAATTGGAATATAGATGGACAAAAGAATTTTATCAATATTTTTCTGATATTGATAACTAAGAATATTCTTGTTCATAATAAGTCACTTTGAAGTATTAAAAGGAAAAGCATGTGTGAAATGGTTGTGAAAAATACATAATGTGTGTGTAGATGGGATAATGATAAAGCAAAGGTAGTAAAATGTTAAAGCTTGGTGAATCTGAGTAAATAGTTAATGGAAATTTTCTGTGAGTTAAAAGAAAGATAAGGTCTAGGTATAAACTAGAAGCCAGAGACCAATATACAAATACCTTAGTTCAATACAGTAGAATTTGAGTTAGATGATTTTTTACTCTCCCTCCTTCCCTTACCCCCCCTTCCATTGCTCTGATTTTTTTAGATATTGAGTGTTTTGCCAATTCCAGTGACCTTTTTGTTGAAAACCATGAATTTGATGTCATTCTGTGTTAAACTATATATGTGATTTCTCTTGAAAGCTTCTTTTACTCTGTTGTTCTTACAAAAGTTGCCTTTCTATGGTTAAAATATGCTTTAGAGAAAAATCATTATCTAAATGTATTCTTTTCTATGACTTCCAGTAAAATGCTTGGTCATATGGAAAACCCCACAGCCAATTTGTCCCCCCACCTGTGGTCTTGTGTTTTGAGAACAAGTAGGAGGTGGATGAAGTTAGAAACATTATGGATATTTTCATATCTCTGATCTTATTCCAAAATGAGCTATATCAAACAAAATATGGAAAGCTCTGCCAGCTATTTTAAACTAAGTCCATTTTGGCAGATCAAACTCCTTTATATGTCTTTTGAGGAACAACAGAAATATTTGAAAATACTTCATCTTAATGATTCCATTTCTTTTTCTGTATATGTAATAAATGAGTATTGTCAGTAGTTCTGCTTAGACCATGTGAAGAAAAGAGATGACATCAAGTGAAATTTGGGTTGTGCAGTCTTAAATGTTGGGTTAACTAAAATTCATTCTTTGATTGTGAAAAATTATTGATCAAAGTTTAATTTTATGCCCACTAATTCTTCAACAGTATTCATACTAAGTTTCTTGCTTCTGTCTTAAGGCTGTATGGAGAAAAGAACCACGTGGTACACTAGGTGAACAATCCAGGAGCTCTCATTACACATTTTCAAATGGAGCAGTGTCTGACATGCAGTGAGAAGATTGCACAGTGTTTTTCAACCTTGATCCTAGTGCAGTGGTGGATTACTGATTGACTCTAAATATAGTGATTAAGATGATTATTAGGCTTTAGTGTATGGATAGCTTGAATTCTTCAGGGTTCTGTGTTATTCACTGTATAGTTTTAAAAATGTCTCCTTTTATAAGAAGATTGAAATTATACAGGTAACTGCTTTTCTAAGAAGTATGGAATTACATTTTAATCTAAAGACTGAGGATTTTTATGAGATTATTTAGGCAAACACCACTATGTAAAGTCAGTAAAAATTAGGTAGAAATGACTAACTGATGTGCAGTGCTAGATCTCATACAGAATAAAATAAGTAATTATAATTTTTGTTCAGTTTTTATAATATTTTGTTCATTTTATTTTCCTTTTTGCATTTTGAGTTTCTAATTTTCTAGCCATTCTATTTATAAGTATTTTCATAATTGCAATGTTTTTATATTCATGACTTTGTTAATATTATATTATTATGTAATTATGAAATTTGTTTTTGTTTTTTTCTTATTAGGAAGAAGCATTGCATGCATTTATTCAGCCAGAAATCCTGGATGGCCCAAATCAATATTTTTGTGAACGTTGTAAGAAGAAGTGTGATGCACGAAAGGTAGATGCCATATAGAAATTAAAACGAATTACCTGAGGTAATAGTCAATATTTAATAGGTCCCTCTTTCTTTTTAGGGCCTTCGGTTTTTGCATTTTCCTTATCTGCTGACCTTACAGTTGAAAAGATTTGATTTTGATTATACAACCATGCACAGGATTAAATTGAATGATCGGATGACATTTCCTGAAGAGCTAGATATGAGTACATTTATTGATGTTGAAGATGAGGTAAATGGTTATTAATTTTCTTATGTCTTTAATTAACCATTTGATTATTCATGTTTAAAAAAGCTATTTGGAGTAACTTAACACTGATGTTTAGACTATTTTCTTGACGGAAGCTTTTCCTTTCTTATTTTCTAATGCCAAGTCTATGAAAAGAATCAACTTTTCATAAGCCTTTCCTATCCACTATAAATTATATTTCAAATATTCTTGCTTGATCAAAGTAACTTATGGGATTATTTGAAAAGACATAAAACTCTGGAATTATTTTTTATTTTGAGAGATAATCTTATATTTCATAACGTTCTCAGTTATCGAAACAAACCAATCTAGAGGTGGGCTGCACTTGTGGTACATAAACAAACATAACAAATATATATGGATGAATGAACAAGCAAACTAAGTAGGATGGCCTTAATTTCTTATATTTGTCTTAGTGTCTTTTTCAGAATTAAGTTTTCTGATATATTCTCATTTAAGGTTTGCCTGCTCTCAAATTGGCTAGATTACAGAGCTAGAAAAGGAAACCTGATTTCCTTTTTTAATTAGTATTTTTATTGAAACTTTATTTAAATATGTTGAGAATGGGACTTTGAACTACACAGGTTATAATGCTTATCAATTTCTTCCACTCAGTGACCTCAAATTCTCTGGTTTCTCTCTCCTTATTTAGTTAAGGATTCATTATGGCCCACTGTATTCTTTCTTTTTTTAAAAAATCCATTTTTGGTTTTTCCAAATAAAGCACTTTTTTATGTATTAATTTGAGAGAGGGAGAGAGAGATTGATTTGTTGTTCCATTGATTCATGAATTCATTGGTTGATTCTTGTATGTGCCCCAACCGGTATCTAACCCAAAACCTAGGCATATCGGGATGATGCTCCAATCAACTGAGCTACCCAGCCAGGGCCGTTCCACTATATTTCTTTTGAAACTAATAATATTTCATTATGAGGAAGGAATATTTACAATTATTTAACATAGTTGTTAGAGTGATACATCTTTATTAAAACTGTCATGAAGCATTTTTTCTCATTGGAACTGATTACTATAAATATAAAAATGCCTTTTCCCAGAAGCTCAAAAATAATTTTAAACAGTCATCAAATTTTACCCCTGGCCTGTTTGGCTCTGCGGTTAGAGTGTCCACCTGCGGTCCAGAGAGACCTGGGTTCAGTTCCCGCTAAGGGCACGTACCTGGGTTGCAGTTTGTCCCCGGCCCTGGTTGGGTTGTGTGGGTGGCAGCCACTCGATGTGTCCCTTTCACGTCGATGTTTCTCTCTCTCTCTCTCTCTCTCTCTCTACTTCCTCCCACTCTATCTGAACAAAAAATGGAAAAATGTCCTCAGGTGAGGTTAAAAAAAATAAAAGAAAAAACATTCATCAAATTGTATTTAGTGCTGTTAAATACTAAAAGACAGTGTGGTATAAAAGAGCAACCTTTCTGAGCCTCACTTTCCTTGTCTGTAATGTAACAATAAAAATTGCTTTTTTTTTTTTTTTATCCTCACCTAAGGGTGAGGACATTTTTACACTTATCTTCAGATAGAGCGGGAGGGAAAAAAGGAGGGGGAGAGAGAGAAACATCGATGTGAGAGAGACACATCTAGTGGTTGCCACCCACATGACCCCAACAGGGGCCGAGTACAAACTGCAACTGAGGTACATGCCCTTAATGGGAACCAAACCTGGGCCTCTCTGGTCACGGGCAGACACACTAACCGCTGAGTCACCGCTAGGGCACTCTTTGTAGTTTTTATAAGAAGAGAGTACCTTAGATAAAGTAGATGTTCATTGAATGATACCTGTGACGAGGTAACATTTTGAAAGGTTTAATTTAAAATAATATCTCAAGCCCTGGACAGTTTGGCTCAGTGGTAGAGCATCAGCCCGTGAACCAAAGAGTCAAGGGTTCAATTCCAGTCAATGGCACATACCTTGGTTGCAGTTCATCCCCAGCCCTAGTCAGGGTTGTATGGAAGCAACCAGTCAATGCGTCCTCATGTTGATGTTTCTTTCTCTCTCTCCCTTTTTTTCCCCTCTCTCTCCCTCTCACTCTATCTGAAGATAAATGGAAAAGTATCCTTGGGTGAGGATTAAAAAACAATAAAAATGCAATAATATGTCAATGCTCTGGTCAGTTTGGCTCAGCGGTTAGAGTATTGGCCCATGGACCAATGAGTCATGAGTTTGATGCCCGTCAAGGGCATGTACCTCAGTTGCTGTTTGTCCCCGACCCTGGTCAGGGTCCTGTGGGAGGCAACCAGTTAGTGTGTCTCTCTCACATGGATGTTTTTCTCTCTCTCTTTCCCTCCCTCCTTCCCTCCCACTCTATCTGAAAATCAATGGAAAAATATCCTTGGGTGAGGATTAAATAAATAAATAAAATTGGTTTTCACCTCCATTTTTCCTTGAACAACTAAAGGGATGAAGAGTATATGTTATATGCAGTTTTGCTACACAAAGTTCTTGGCAAAAAAATGGTGCTTATTTTATATTGGTTGGTTAATTCAAGAACTTATATGCAGTGTCTTAGAGAAGAATTCTTAAATTATTTAAATAACATCTTTAGGTATGTATATAAATAGTAAAGGAAAGGGGGGAGAGTTGTTTGAGAATGTCTAAAAAGTAGATTTTTTTCAACTTAAATATGCATGAAAGAGATTTAAAAATCACAAAAGCATGGAAAAGTATGATTTGCTGTTGTTACATTTCCAACTTCTATACACAGAAGTATAAAAATTTTTAGGGTAGATACAGTGTCTTGCTTTTCTTTCTAATTGTCTACAATACCTAGCACAATGATAAACTGAATGGAACTTTTTGTTCAAGAAAAGGTATGATTATTTTGGGGGGATATGAGAACAGAAGAAGCTCATTTTGGACCTTAAGTTCTCTGCTTTTATTGATTTTGGTGAAAGAAATATTTTTTTATTATTACTTTGCAACTATAAACATAAATGGGGTTTTAATACAATTCTGAATTTGTGTGTGTGTGTGTGTGGTACGTGCCCCTAGTGGGAACCGAACCCAGGACACTCTGGTCCTCAGGCCAACGCTCAACCGCTGAGCCAAACTGGCCAGGGATTATTATTGTTGTATTAGAATTTTAAGGACATTAATGTAAATGCTTTTAAAATACACTTTTTTGTTCATCTCATTTTTAAGTAACTTTTTAAGAAAAGCTAAATTTACTTAAAGTAAAAGATTTTTATTAACAATAATATCTTAAATTATGTGAAAAAGCAGCATGTAGATAAAAAGTTTTACTTGAGTATATATTTTTCCTTTATTTAGTTTATGATTATAAGATGATTATGTTTTATTAAGAAATCTCCGCAGACTGAAAGTTGCACTGATAGTGGAGCAGAAAATGAAGGTAGTTGTCACAGTGATCAGATGAGCAATGACTTCTCCAATGATGATGGCGTTGACGAAGGGATCTGCCTTGAAAGCAATAGTGGGACTGAAAAGATTTCAAAACCTGGTCTTGAAAAGGTACCTTTTATAGTTTGTGGTTTTGAGTTGAAAGAGAGAATAATGTAATCTCTGAGCTGATATATGTAATTCAGTAGCTGTGTCACTGAGAAGGTTCTCTTTTAAAAGAAGTTTAATTTTTGAAAATTAAGACTTTTTATGCTTTGTTTTTTTAATGTACTTATGTGGTTATAGTTAAACTTATGAAAAACTACTTACAGGTGGGAATATTAATTTCTGGGAGGCTGAACTGTGATTATGTAAGTGAGGTGGGTGATAGTATGGAAAGGGTCCTAGTAATCAGGACTTCTGCCTTGAAAGTTGCAGCAAGCCTCTAAATCTATCTTAGAGTTTTCTCATATAGCAAAATGAAAACATTAGATCTTTTGATTTTTAAAGTTCTAGATGGAGCCCTTTATCAAACAGTTAGTAATAGAACTGATCTTTTTAAGGTAGGGGAAAGACAAAGCCCTCAGCCAGCTTCCTCTTCACACCCCCAGCCCTATGTCAGCCCTAAAGGTACTTAAAAAATGTTATAGTTCCAATGTTACAATTTTAAAACTACAAAATTGGATAATCTCTAGGATAGAATTTTTTTGTTACTGTGTCAATGATTTTTAACATTTTATCAAACCATTTCTTTCACATTTATATAATCTGCTATATTGAGGGGAGAATTACAGATCAAATATCTTGAGTTCAGACTTAGAGACATATTATATATACAATGTTTGAAAGTGGAGTTTCACTTGCATAAATCTATTTTTAGACCGAGATTTATATTCTCACCACCATCACCCTTTACCTTTTAAAATTATCTATTTCAGGGCAGATAGATGAGTGTGAATTGCTATTTAAAATGAATAAGGTAGGAGATGCATTATAATTTAGTATAAAGAATATTACATTCAAGCAAGTATTGGTACACTGTGGCTGAAGAGCAAAAAAATCCTCGTGCCTGTTTTTCTGCATATACAACTCTGTCTTTTTTCCCCCTCGACTTAATGAAATAAGTAGGACTTCCCTTACAATGTGGAATAGGAGTGGTGAGAAGAGGGCATTCTAGCCTTGTTTCTAGTCTCACAAGGAATGTTTTCACTCTCTCATCTTAATTATGATATTGGCTGTAGGTGTTTTGTAGATTTTCTTTACCAAGTTAAGGAGGTTCCCCCTTCCCAATTTGTTGAGAGTTCTTATCATGAATGGGTATGGGATATTGTCAAATTATGTTTCTGGGTCAGTTGATATGATCATGTAATTTTTCTTCTTTAACCTGGATTACATAGATCAGAAAGTTTCAAATAGTGTGCTGTAAGAATTTTGAAGACATGTAATACCTGAGTGTTTAGTCAGGGGCACTGACCTCTTTTCCCTTAGATTGTCAAATAAAAAAAATGATAACAACCAACACAAGAGCAGTCCAGTGTGAATGAATCAAGATCATACCTTTTTTTGTTTTTTTGGTCAGATTGGCAAAAAATATATTTTTTGGTATGCCACAGAATTTTAGTAATTAGCTTATGTGTGCCATGAGATGAAAAAGGTTGAGAATTGCCGACATAGATTGATTTTCTAATGTTGAACCAGCTTTGCTTTGCATACCTTAGATGTGTCAAGTCGGTAATCACTATATCACAGATATTCCATACATTAGATGTTCCAAATCATTATATCCTTCAGCTCCTCTAAAAAGATAATAGAATCATATTTGAATAAAAAACAAAGTTATTTGGGATTTCTTGATCTTGACTTCACATATTAGAATAGTCTTATATTTGGCACTTGTTTCTAAAATTTCAGACTATTATTTTCTTTTTTACATGAATAAATAAATTACATTTTGATATGCATAATTCCAGAGGTTATAGCATAATTAAAATGTGAAGGAATACATTGAATAAAACTTGTGAAACTTGTGATATATAAAATTATATGGTAACTTGCCATTTTAATTATCTTAGAGGAAAGTTGACCTGCAATAAATATATAGAACAACTAACATGTTACTTCACTATGTATTAATAGAGAATAGGAAATAAAAAATAAGTGTTTTTCCTCTTATTGAGTTACCTTTATTTTTTCCCTTAGAATTCCTTGATCTATGAGCTCTTCTCCGTTATGGTTCATTCAGGGAGTGCTGCTGGTGGTCATTATTATGCTTGTATAAAGTCATTCAGTGATGATCAGTGGTACAGCTTCAATGATCAACACGTCAGCAGGGTAAGGAGGGGTTCTTTAAGGTTATTATTCTAAAACACAAGAGTAGGGATGTTTCTATCAATAGTAGGGTTTATTGAAATGGGGGATTAAATGTGTCCAGTGAAGCATTATAAGACAAATATCAAATCAATCTTTTGTTTGTGCTTTCAGTAAATTTCTTGCTTTGTTTATTGTTATTTCTTGGTTTTCTTTTGTTTGGAGCTTACTGAGTCTTTTCAAAGATAGACTCCCAATTTTCCTTTTGTCCTGAGCCTTCATGTGGGCTGTTTAGGAGCATTAGAACTGATTGGTCACTTGCAGGCACTGATTATGATTGAATTTTGTGAATTGGTATGTGTGGTCCATTTAACTCTGAGGTTAAAAATTTGGTTACGTATTGCCATAAAGGTAATGGTGTTACAGATTTTTCCAAAAAATAAATAATGTAACAACTTTTTAGATAACACAAGAGGACATTAAGAAAACACATGGTGGATCTTCAGGAAGCAGAGGGTATTACTCCAGTGCTTTTGCAAGGTAAATAACTTCATAATTTTTAGTGTTTACAAATTAATTATAGCTTCTCAACATTTTTCACCATTAAAAGGGTTTAATCCAGAGGTTGGCGAACTATAACCCATGGGCCAAATCCAGTCTACTTCCATTTTTGGAAATAGTTTTATTGAAACATCACCATACTCATTTGAAACATTGTGTGTTGATCTTACCCACTGCAACAGCAGAGTTAGGTAACTGCAACAGAGATTATACTTTTACTGTCTGGCCCTTTCCAGAAAAAAGATGCTGACTCCTAACTTAACTAGAGTAATCATTCTAGGACATAGATTTTTTAAAGACTTTACTCTGATAACAAGAGGGAGGTATAAATGTATCAGTAAAAGCAAAGTAGTTTTGTTTTGTTTTCCTACAATGATTTAAATTTGAACCTGTTCAAATGCAGTTTTCATGATTTTCTAATTATTTTAGACAACAAAAAATATTTTAAATAAATATTTGATGCTGGGAAATGGAATCTTTACAATCTCCTTTTTGTCTCTATTAATCTTTTTTGTATTTCAACTAGCTCCACAAATGCATATATGCTGATATATAGACTGAAGGATCCAGCAAGAAATGCAAGTATGTTAACATAGACTTACTTGGTTTTAATCTGTTTCTTTTGCAAGTTTTGCAAACCCAGATAACCACTTTTAACTGATAGAATAATAAATTTTTTTTATGCATTTAAGAATTAATTATAAAGACTGTTATGAGATAATACCAACTGGTAAAAACACTTGGGAGAAATGAACTGTTTTTTGTTTTTTTAATACATTAAGGGGCAAAACTTACTCTACATTGAATAAACCTGGTATTTATTTGCCATAAGATTGTATTATATGAAGTTTGGTTTAGTGGTGATAACCTCCAGACCTGTGTAGCAGTCATAATTCAACAGCTGCATGTCCCAGACCAAGTTACTTAACTTTCCAAGTCTTACTTTCCGCATCTGTAGAATGGGGATAATTATGGTATTTTATAGGGTTGTTAAAATTAAATAACATATTTTAAGTATTTGACATCATGTCTGGTATATAATAAAAACTCAAATTTAGCTATTATTATTGTAATCTTTTTGGATATTTAGTATCTACGTGCTTTAAATGGGGACCATAGATGAAGTAAACTTCCCACTTCGCACTCTAGAAATGTTCTTAAGAACTAAAGTTAAATATCTTTGCTGTTCACTTTAAAAGCAAGTAAAAGTCTTATGAGTCTAGTATGCTTCTTTTATTATAATTACTATTTTTTTTATCTTCACCTGAGGACATTCTTTGCTATCTTCAGATAGAGCAGGAGAGGGGCGCGAGAGCGAGAGAGAGAAACATTGATGTGAGAGAGACACATCGAGTGGTTGCCCCCATACAACCCCAACCAGGGCCAAGGACAAACTGCAAACTGTATGTGCCCTTAGTGGTAACCAAACCCGGGAGTCTTTGGTCCGCAGGCTGATGCTCTAACCGCTGAGCCAAACCAGCCAGGGCAATTATATTTTAATTTTATTAAGAATTCCCCACCTAGCCAGTGTGGCTCAGTGATTGAGTGTCGACCCATGCGCCAAGAGGTCGCCAGTTCAATTCCCGGTTAGGGCACATGCCTAGGTTGTGGGCCCAGTCCCCCTTACTCTGACTAAAGCAGTATTGCAAATAGGTAGAGATATGTGTTTATACATGAACATAGTTATATACATAGATGATGTGGTTATGTTCTTTTTATAATTAAAATAATATATTCACTCATTGATTTGCAAATATTTCCTTTATTTAGAAACTTCTGTCTTTTCACCAACAGTATAGTTCAGGGTCTGTCATATAGCGGCTTTTCAATAATTTACTGTAGGATGAATGAAAAGAAAGGAAATTAAAACAAAAAGTCATTTCAGAACAGAGATTTTAGAGTAGAAGTAATCATTCAATATAACCCCAAAATAATTTGTCCATTGTCCTAGCTACCTGGAGGCAGAGCCAGGATTGTAGTTCATGTGTCCTGTTTGGTACCCAGCATTCCAGACATTTTCAATAAGTAGAGTGACAACTCAGCTTTCCTTTATTCACTCCCAGCTCTAGGTTTGTGATGAAGCACCAGGGGGCGCTATATGACATGGAATTTTTTCTAATGTTTTTATCAATTTTTTTATTTTTATTTATTTTTATATTTTTTTTATTGATTTTAGTGAGAGAGGAAGGGAGAGGCAGAGAGAGATAGAAACATCAATGAGAGAGAACATCGATTGGCCATCTCCTGCATGCCCCCCGCTGGGGACTGGGCCCACAACCTGGGTATGTGCCCTGACGAGGAATTGAACTGGGAACCTTTTGGTGGTCAGTGCTCAACCACTGAGTCATACTGGCCAGGCTTTTTATTTATTTTTTAGAGAGAGAGGAAGGGAGAGAGATAGAAATCATCAATGTGTCTCTCTCTCACATTAATGTTTCTCTCTCTCTCTCTTCCATCCTCCCTCCCTCTCACTCTATCTGAAGATAAATACAAAAATGTCCTCAGGTGAGGATTTTTTAAAAAGTGACATTATGTGAGAGAGAAATATCTATCAGCTGCCTCCTGCATGCCCTCTACTGGAGATCCAGCCTGCAACCCGAGCATGTACCCTAACCGGGAATTGAACCGGGACCTCCAAGTCCATGGGACGATGCTCAATTTACTGAGCCACACCTGCAGGGGAACATGGAATATTTTTAGAATTAGAGCTCATTTCTAAGAGCAGTAGATTTTTACCTTCCACATAGGCATGATTTTTTAAATATAAATTGTTCTCATTTAATGTTTAATAACCATTGGCTTTATTAAACACTGTCATAGTCTTATAATGTCACTGTTTTTCTTATCCTCACCTGAGGACATTTTTGCATTTATCTTCAGATAGAGTGAGAGGGAGGGAGGATGGAAGAGAGAGAGAGAGAAACATTTATGTGAGAGAGAGACATTGATGACTGGTTACCTCCCACGACCCCAACAGGGGCCAGGGGCAAACTGCAACCGAGATAAGTGCCTTTAGTGGGAACCAAACCCGGGACTCTGGTCCACGGGCTGATGCTGTAACTGCTGAGCCAAACCAGCCAGAGCATAATGTCACTTTTAATATGTTTCTTACACATGAAATTCTTTGATTAGAAGGCAGCTAAAAGACTGCTTTGAGCCCTGGCCGGTTTGGCTCAGCGGTTAGAGCGTCGGCCTGCGGTCCTGAGAGACCCGGGTTCGGTTCCCGCTAAGGGCGCGTACCTTGGTTGCAGTTTGTCCCCGGCCCTGGTAGGTCGTGCGGGTGGCAGCCACTCGATGTGTCCCTTTCACATCGATGTTTCTCTCTCTCTCTGTTCCTCTCTCTCCCTCCCGCTCTACCTGAACAAAAAAAAAAAAAAAAAAAAAAGACTGCTTTGAGAACAAAGGGATACTTGTATTAGGGAATAATACAAATAAATAACATTTGTAGTAGTAGCAGCAGCAACATGTTTATTACATTTTATTATATCCTGGGTAATAACTGTGGGGTAAATGTTAGTAATAAACAGAAGAAACCAAGGTCTGGAGAAGTAAACTTGCCCAGGTCACATAATGGTGATAATGGCAATTTAAAATCAGAAATAGTTTTATTTTCAAGTTTTAGAGAAGTTTTTTTATTCTAGAAATCTTAATCTACATAGAGTTTTCCTGGAGCCCAATACTATTATGGATAAATATGTGACTCTAAAATATGAGACCTAACCATGTGTTACTATTAACTACCTCTTTATCCTTGTCTGGAAAAAGCTCATATTTCAGTTGAGAGATTCATGGAATTGAGATATATTTTGATGAGAGCTTTAGTAGAATTGTATACAATGGAAACCTAGTAGAACAAAAATAAAGGAAGCTCAATTTTAGTGACACTCTCTTACCCTGTTTTAATTATTAACAGAATTTCTAGAAGTAGATGAATATCCAGAACATATTAAAAATTTGGTGCAGAGAGAAAGAGAACTGGAAGAACAAGAAAAGAGGCAACGAGAAATTGAACGCAACACATGCAAGGTTAGTTTTTGTAATTTTACTTTTAATTAAATAGTGCTACTGCAGTTAAGCAAACTACAGTAGCACTATTTAATTAAAAGTAAAATTAATTAAATAGTGCTACTGTAGTTTGCTTAACTGCAGTTCTCATAATTAACTAATTTGGTTGATTATATAAACAATTATGTTATGATCATTAAGGAGTGTAACCAACTATAGTACTGAGGTAAGATATGATTTTGAAATATGCATTAAGGATCACTAACATGTAGTGATAATACTCAGAGCTGGTGACGCTACAATAAGAGGAGCATTGTCACATTCTGCTACAAGAGGAATAACTTTGTAAAATTTCTGTGTAGACATTGAATAGAATTTATCAAGAACCTTATGCAAATTCATATTATTTTATATATAATTCTCTTAAGGAAATACTACCTAATAAGATCATCACAGATGCTGTAAAATTTTGACCTCAATGACATTCATCACAGTATTTTCCAAACTAGGTAAAAATTGGAGACAACCTGAATGTATATCAGTAGGGGAATGATTATATAAATTGTGATATGTGCTTAAAAAGAAAATACACTTGTTAAAATTAATGTTTTAAATTTCTTAATAACATGAGATATAGTCACTATTGATTACTAAGTAAGAAAAAGAGACAGCAGAGAGAATGATACCATTGTACATTTTTAAAAAAAATCATAGTTTTTTAACTATTAGGGAAAAATGCTGTCTACAAAAAATTAAGCTTTAACTTATGACCTGCTGAGTTGATGATGGTATTTTATGATTTCTAGATAAAATTATTCTGTTTGCATCCTGTGAAACAAGTAATGATGGAAAATAAATTGGAGGTTCATAAGGATAAGACATTAAAGGAAGCAGTAGAAGTGGCTTACAAGGTATGTTTAATTGCACTGTTAGCATTTAATTATTAATAGCTTAGATAATAGTATTAACATATTTTACAAACTTTTTATTATAGTTAATAGTAATATAAGCACTTGTAATAGTGTTGATAGCCCATTTAAATCATGTGTCTTTTAAAAAGTACAGTTAATACTGCTTCTTTGAAACATAGTTGGTTTTGAATAAATACAAAAGTATTTATTATTCTTTACATGCATTTAGCAGATATTTATTGAGTGCCTACCATATGAGACATTGGAGACACTAGCATGAACAAGACAACATGAGGTGTTAGAGATAACGGAGTGAACAAGACATGCTCACTGCAATTGTGGAGTTTATAATCAATTGGGGAAAAAAGACAAAAAATATTTAACCATTAAAATTTGTAAATATTTTATTGTTTAGATACTATAAAGTATATCAGTAGTATATTGAGATTATTTATTCTGAGACTTTCACCATGAGAAGGAGATAGCTATGCAAAAAGTTGGGGAAGAATAAGTAGAGCTAACAGCCTGTGTAAAGACTGAGGTGAGAAAGTGTATGATCAAGAAACTGAAAAAAGGAGCATTATGTTTTGATTGTCTTGAATGAGAAAAGAGTAGCATAAAATGAAATTAGAGACTTTATAGGAATGGAAGTTTGCGTTTTGGAAGGTTATTAGTGGGTTTTGAAAGGCAAATAGAAAGGGAAACATTATTTAACCAGATTATTTGAAATACAGTTTTTTGCCTTTTTCTATAAACGTTAACATCATTTGACTGAAATTAAACAGTCATTACCTAGAGAAAAAATTGTGTACTACATTACTGTATTTATAATTATATTTGAACCAATGAAAGAACTAGAATTAGTACACAAGATAGCTGACATTGTTTCTCCAAGTGATTCAGCACAACCTGCATCAGAATCGCATTTCTGTGAAAAAACTAATTCCTGCAGATAAATCTAAATTTCTATGTTGGTGCCTGGGAATATGCATTTTAAATAAGTACCTCAGGTGATTTTTAAGCATGCTAAAGTTTGAGACCTACTTTGTATTAGGTACTTGGTCCTTCATAGGAATTGGTATTGAAAATTTATAATATGTGACTATTTTAATTAATGTCACTGTCCCTCACTAAACTGTAATCACTTACAAGGGTAGAGAATGTTCTGGCTTTGTTCACGTTTGCATTTTTATGCTGGTATATAGGAGAGTAAAAATTATATAATTATGAGAAAGAATAAATGGAAAAAAACAATAAAATGGATGGATGGATAGCTCTGGATTCACTTTTTTAAAGTAAAAATCCTTTAAACATGCAGACATCATATTTGCACAATCATAGTTAAACCAAATTAGATTAAAATGGACAAAATGTCTTAACAGTTTTACACAGTAAGGGCAATCAGTGATAGCAGTAAGGGTAGTTTACTTTCCATTTGTTTTTAATGCAGGAAGAAAAAAATATTGTTTTAAAAATAGGAAGTAGCCCTTGGCCGGTTTGGCTCAGTGGTTAGAGTGTCGGCCCATGGACCAAAGAGTTGATTGAGGGTTCAATTCTGGTCTAGGGCGCGTAGTTCAGTACCAGGCCCTGGTGGGGGTTGTGTGGTAAACGACTGGTTGATATGTCTCATGTTGATGTTTCTCACCCCCCTCCCTACACTTCCCTTCCACTCTGTCTGATAAATGGAAAAGTATCCCCGGGTGAGGATTAAAAAAAAGTAAAGTTTACAAACATGAAGAATCAGACAGACAGAGAAATAAGTTAATCTTATGTACCAAAAATAGAGCTTATCTTTGGGGATGAGAGAAAGATTGAGTAGAGGTCAGGGGGAGCATAAAGTTACAATCACAAAACTTCAGTGAGGTTTCTGTATTTCTCCAGGAGGTTCATTTCCACTTTAACAAGTGTTGCATCCAGGGCATGCTATCTACTAGTGACATGGGCTAGACAGAAATTTTATGGTGGGAATTCCTATGCCCTGAGCTGTAGGTATTCTGGGAGCTAATCTTGAAGGGGATGATCTGAAAAGAGTAATGGGTCAGCACTTGGGAGACACAGAAGCTAAGCCTTTATGGTAGCTCTACGAGGCATGCTGTCCTGTGCTTAGGAAGATGGTTACATGAACTACCTTCTTCAAATTGGATTAAGAAAACAAAAGATGCATGTTCTAGTTGGTGGTTTTCCCCTTTTATGCTTCCAGCTTAGTGGTTATAGAGCAATCGCTTGTAATACGTTAATTTTGAGTCCATCTGAAGTTTTAGAATGTTAACTTTTTAAAAACAAACAATGTCTTTAAAATATGTTAGTGCATATGTTGTATGATTGGAGGGATAATGAAATATGGTTATTTAAAAATAGCATTTATGTTGTGTCTAACTTTGATTTCTTTGAGTTTTGATGCAAATCATAAACATGAATTTTGTTATTTGTTAGGACCCATTAAAAGATGTTCTAAAAGAGAACTCTAAATGTGACTGCAGTTACACACCAGACTAAAATATTATGTATTTTTCTTTTTGGGTTTTTTTTTTTCTTCTAGATGATGGATTTAGAAGAGGTAATACCCCTGGATTGTTGTCGCCTTGTTAAATATGATGAGTTTCATGATTATCTTGAACGATCGTATGAAGGAGAAGAAGATACACCAATGGGACTTCTACTAGGTGGAGTGAAGTCAACATATATGTTTGATCTGCTGTTGGAGACAAGAAAACCTGATCAAGTTTTTCAGTCTTATAAACCTGGAGGTAAGGAATTTTGCAGTATTTTGAGTAGTACTGGACTTAAAATGTTCTTAGAGTTTTTTGTTTGTTTGTTTGTTCATTTATCTTTATTGTTGAATGATGTTCCTCATTTTTCCTCCATTGACCCCCTCCTCCCCACTCCTGCCCCCCTCCCGTCTTTTCCCACACCGCTGTCTGTGTCCACTGGTTATGCATATAAGTTCTTTGGTTTATTTCTTCCCACCCCCTTCCCTTTGAGGTTTGTCAGTCTAGCAACCAATTTGTACTTCTTAATCCCTTCACCTTTTTCACCCATTCCCCATCCCCCCTCCCATCTGGCAACCAACAAAATGTTCTCTGGATCTATGAGAATGTTTCTTCTGCCTGCTCATTTTGTTTGTAGATTCAATTGTCGATAGATATGTATTCATTGCCATTTTGTTTGTTCATATATGTTATCTTTTTCTTCAAAAAGACCCTTCATCATTTCATATAATAACAGTTTGGTGATGATGAACTCCTTTAACTTTTGTCTGGGAAACTCTTTATATGGCCATTGATTCTAAATGACAACTTTGCAGGATAGAGTAACCTTGGTTGTAGGTTCTTGCCTTTCATCTTGCCACTCCCTTCTGGCATGCGAAATTTCTTTTGAGAAATCAGCTGACAGCCTTATGGGAACGTCCTTGTAGGTAACTAACTGCTCTCTCACTGCTTTTAAGATTCTCTCTTTGTCTTGAACCTTTTGCATTTTGATAATGATGTGTCTTGGTGTGGGCCTCTTGGGGTTCATCTTGTTTGGGACTCTCTGTGCTTCCTGGACTTGTATGTCTGTTTCCTTCACCAAGTTAGGGAAGTTTTCTGCCATTATTTTTTCAAGTAGGTTTTCGATTTCTTGTTCTCTCTTCTCCTTCTGGTACCCCCAAAATGCCAATGTTGGCACGCTTGAAGTTGTCCCAGAGGCTCCTTACACTCTCCTCATTTTTTTGGATTCTTTTTTCTTTTTGCTGTTCCGATTGGGTGTTTTTTGCTTCCTTATATTCCAAATCGATGGTTTGCTTCTTGGCTTTACCTACTCTACTATTGAGTCTATGTAAATTATTCTTTATTTCAGTTAGTGCCTCCTTCATTTCTGACTGTGCATCCTTCATTTCTGACTGGTCCTTTTTTATGCTCTTGAGGCCCTCACTAAGTTCGCTGAGGTTCTCACTAAGTCCATTGAGCATCCTTCTAAGCAGTATTTTGAACTCAGCATCTGTTAGGTTGTTTATCTCCATTTCACTTAGTTCTTTTTCTGGGGTTTTGTTCTGTTCTTTCATTTGGGACCTGTTTCTTTGTCTCCTCATTTTGGCTGCCTCCCTGTGTTTGTTTCAGTGTATTACTTAATGAGAGGTATGGGGCTATCTGAGACCAGATGCTGCTTGTTTGAAAGAATTTAGGAAAACCTGAAGCAGGATCCAAGACAGGTCAATCCTATGGTTAAGCAACTGGCAACAGCTTGGGTGGGCCTGAAAGTTGGGTGGGGCTGGGCCTCAGGGAATTACCATAGCCGGGCAACCAGTGTGAGCCAGGTTGCTGGAGTCCCAAATAAGCCGCCCCAGGGAAGGGCTCACCAAAGGAACAAAGGCCTCTGACAGCAGTCTGTCCTGGAGAAAGCCCCCTCTCCAGCCCTTGCTCCCCTGCCAAACAGCCCAGTTCTTCCCTGTATGTCTCTGGTGCCCCTCAAGGTGCCTCCCCTCCAAGCTTAGAGGGAGTGAGTCCGATAAGTCCATGTGCGCGGGCCCTTTAAGAGGAGCTGCCTGGGGCTCCAGCCGCTTCAGCCTCCCTGAGCCTCAGTTCCCGCTGGTTTTTCCAGCCAGAAGTTATGGGGACTTCTCTTCCTGGCACTGGAACCCTGAACGGGGTACCTGGTGTGGGACAGGGACCCTTTCAGTCCTCAGGGAGGACCTTCCCAGCCGCAGGAGCCTCCTGATTTTTATCCGCCACACGTGGGTGTGGGACCAGCCCATCTTCCTCCGCCCCTCCTACCAGTCTGGATGCGGGTGCTGCTTTAATTCCGTAGTTGTAGGCCTTCCATTCAGTTTGATTTCAGGTGGTTTTGAATGACTGTGGTTCTGTAGTTTAATTGTAACTTTGATGTGGTTGTGGGAGGACTCGATACCGCGTTTACCTACACTGCCATCTTGACCGGAAGTCCTTAGAGTTTTTTTGTTTAATTTTTTATATGTTCTTGAAATGTTTTATATGTTCTGAAAATAATTTTGATAGGTTGGAAAGTCACCAGCATCAAGCTTGGAATTAAATTCTAGATTACTTTCAAAGAGTTATACACAAAATTTAAAAAACAAACAATAAACTTCCAGCTTACAGTGTTCAGTGGGATTTTTATCCTTCATTATTGAATAATCCTCCCCCACCCCTCCATTTATAAAGAAGACCCTGGACCAAAAAACATATTCCCATAAAATCTTAGAAGTAGAGTCTATTTTTCAGGGTCTCCTTGAAAAGGTGGTTTCATAACCCATCACTGCCAACATTTCAAATTCTTCTCCATCCTCTTCATTTCTGCAGGTCCTGGGGACATCAGCTTTTTCTGTTTTTATTAAATCTGTCACATTTCTCAGTATATGAGGGTTTGTTTGTTTTTCTTTGAGACTGACCTGGAAAGCAAAATATTATGCCCCTAGCTTTTACCCAAATTCATCCCTAGAGACAGTGTTGCACATTCAAAATGTTCTAGTAATCACTATATGTAAACTATAACAAATAGGGCTCTCACCGCTGACCAAACCAGCCAGGGCCAAAGCATGTGTTTTTAAAATCACATTTTAACTTTTGTCATTTGTAAAAGAGATCTAGAATTTTTATTAGGCTATTTTCCATATCTTTATATATGTTTGAAAGTGACAAAAAGTGAAAGAAGTTTTAACATGTGTCATACATGTGTAACATATTATACATCTACCATTTTGATAACCAGAAAAAGTGTTCTTTGCCATCTGTTAGAAAAACACTAAAAATGTATTACTCGTGCGAAATACATTTTTAAAAATAACCTCCAGTTATATTTTTATTTTTTCCAAATGTGACAGAAGTGATGGTGAAAGTTCATGTTGTTGATCTAAAGGCAGAATCTGTAGCTGCTCCTATCACTGTTCGTGCTTACTTAAATCAAACAGTTACAGAGTTCAAACAACTTATTTCAAAGGTAAGTTTTAAACTTGGTTAGTGAATAATTTTGAGTGCCTGCTCTGTACAGAGCACTATGTGATATCGTTGTGAATAAGATAAAGGAATCAGTATTTACTGTAAGGAGCAAGTATTTATAGCTAGGAGACAACTGTGGTTAGGAGAGGACACTTCAAATAGACGAAACAGATTGACCAAAGTGTCAAGGTAAGAAAGTATGGGGCAAGTGTATAAAACAGTGACATGTGTGTTTGTCCTGATCATTGTAAAATACATGCCTAGAAATGTAAGTTTAGTTATTTCATGGAAGATTTTAAAATAGTGAACATAAAAGTTTGGGCTCTATTTGATGTAGGCAATAAGAAGTAGGTTTTTTGTTTGCTTTTCTAAGTATGACATTGGTGTGATGAGCTCTACTATAGAATGGTAAGTCTACCAACACTAGGCTAGTGTTCCAAATAGATTGATAGTGTTCCAAATAGGTGTCAGGAATGTAGATGAGGAGGTTGTAGAAGTAATTCAGGTGTAGGCATATGACTAAAAATGAGAAAAATGAGGTTTAGATTATAAGAATGATTATATAAAGAGAATCTCTAGGATTTGTGATTGGTAAATGTTGGGCTAAGGCAGGAACACAGTTGACCTGAGGAATTTCAAACTTGGGTAACCACAAAGGTAGTATTAATATTAGGAGAAATAAAAGAATAAGGTTGGGGAGAAGATTTGACAGGGAAGGTAATGGATTAAATATTGGCCACATTATATGTGAATTAATGATAAAGAATATAACATCATTCAGAATTTATGAGCTGGAAAACATTTACATTTCTTTGGACAAAGAAATGAGTCCACTGCAGAGAAATAGTTATCCTTTCAAGGCTCCTGTACTCTATAGAACATTGAGCACACGAACACAGGTAGACGTTTGCAGCGTTCCTAAACTCCAGGTTAAGATCCTTTGATGTAGTGGAAATTGTACAGAACTCACAAGTCAAGAAGTAAAGTCCAGTTTTTAGTCATTCATCTTATGGTGGTCTTGTCTTTTATCTCACCCAGAGTTTTAATGCCTCTTTTAACAGGTTGTTGTGAATGTTAATAAACACTGCTCTTTGAAAAAATAAAAATTGTAAAGTATTATATAAAAGCTGGGTTTTAATTATTATGTTCAAAAAACGACTTCTAACATTTTTGCCAAAGTAACAATTAGAGAAAACAAATCATATTGTGAAGCCATATTTAATGATTAAATTGCTCATAAAAAGACTATATTACTGTAATTGCTTTGTATTACAGTTTAATCTAAAGTATAAGCACTGAGGTAGAATACAAGAGAAACAAAATTCCATTCCCTGAAGAAGCTAATAATTTTGTTGGGAAAAAATATGTCTGTAGAAAATAAAGCCGTCACAAAGCATTGTATCAAGAAATATGGTGTTTAAACTAGACTGCCTAAGAATTCATTATCATTAGTTGTATTGAAAACCAGTTATAATTTTAAAAATGGAAATTATTTTAATCTATTCATTTTATATGAAATTCATAAAATAACAGAAAATTAAGGACATGGAATTCTAAAATAACCATAAAATTTACCTACTAATTTAATGTTGTTTTACACAAAAGAAAATTGGTTTATTAAAACCGTTAACTATTCACAGAATACAAAAGAATCCATCAAAAGTCAAGAAGTTGAACAAAAGAGGTGTTGATTTGACATCAGTCTCAAAGAGTCAGTTATTTTATTTCTTTGGAAAAAAATTTCTTCATTTACTTTGCAAGTTTGAGAGGAATAGAATTTTTAGTGAAAAATTGTTACCTTTAAAATACTTTCAGAGCATACATTTATATTCTCCTAATTTATAGCATAATTAATAGATGAGACTAATAATTTTCCCTAGATCTTTTTTTATATAGAAATATGTTTTTATTGATTTTTAGAGAGAGAGGGAGAGGGAGAGAAAAAGAGAGAAACATCAATGTGAGAGAGGAACATCAGTCAGCTGCCTCCTGCACACCCCCTCCCTACCAGGGAGCAACCCACAACCTGGGCATGTCCTGACCCAGAACTGAACCTATGACCTCTTGGTGTATGGGATGATGCTCAACCAACTGAGCCACATCAGCCAGGGCTCCATAGATTCTTTAAAAAAATTTTAAACCTCTACTAAGATTATTTTTTTCTTAATTTCTTTCTGCTGTTTTTAAGAACTCAGCATTGTCTTATTTTCTCATATTTCCAAGTGAAGCAGAATTATTCCTGAAAGAGTACATTTTTATTGAATTGCTTTCATTATAGGCTATCCATTTACCTGCTGAAACAATGAGAATAGTGCTGGAACGCTGCTACAATGATTTGCGTCTTCTCACTGTGCCCAGTAAAACCCTGAAAGCTGAAGGTTTTTTTAGAAGTAACAAGGTAACTCTATTTTTACATTATTATTTTCTATGCTGGTAATAGCAAAATGAAATTAAGTTTAACATTATCATCCCAACCTCTAGAGCTGTCTACCGTTTAAATTTTCACATCCTACCAATAATTACCTTCCTTTGTAGTCAGGTCCGACCTGGCCTCTTTCTGTCCTCTGAATCAATCTTGCTGGTTCTTCTCTTTTCATATTCATGAGCTACCCCTACTTGGAGTGTTCTTTCCTTCTCCCTACATTTTTTCAAGCCCTAGATTAGTCCTGCCTCTTTTATGAAGCCTTCATTACAATTTCTATCCACAATGATTGTATCTCTGAATTTTATTTATTCTTGAGCTTCTCCCATAAAGTAGTACATACTTCACTGTGAAAGTCAGATGCATGCCTGGTACAGAAAAAATTATCATATTGGCTTCACCCAACATTATTCTCTTTGCCTACTCATTTATCTCTGTTTAAAAAGAGAAAATTGCCTGGCCTGTGGGCCTGTGGACCAGAGAGTCCCAGGTTCAGTTCCCGCTAGGGGCATGTACCAAAAAAAAAAATATATATATATATATATATATATATATAAAAAGAGAAAATTGATGTGGATCTTTTGTTTCATCTCTTGTTATCGTTATGTGTTTCATTATTTATCATTTTTTTCTATGTATTTGTTCCTAATGCCATTGGTTTACTCTGGATAAATTGCACTCAGAAGTTTCCTTGTTTGTCATCTTTTATTCATTGCCTTTTCCAGTCTCATTCATCTTTGTCTTTTATCTCATTTAACCATTTTAGTATTGTTTATTAATCCAGTGTGTAATTTTTATTTTCCTCTCATTTCTTTTAATACTTATATGTGGTGTATTTGTGTAATCTACCTTATAATACTGGTTTAGGGTAAAGACTGGAAGAGATCTATTTCTTTCTTTTTTTTTTATCCTCACCCAAGGACATTTTTGTGTTTATCTTCAGATAGAATGGGAGGGAGAAAGAGAAAAATCGATGTGAGAGAGACACATCGATTGGTTGCCACCCACACGACCCCAACAGGGGCCGGAGACAAACTGCAACCAAGTTACGTGCCCTTAGCGGGAACTGAACCCAGGACTCTCCGGTCCGCGGGCCAAAGCTCTAATCGCTGAGCCAAACTGGCCAGGGCAAATAATGGTTATATTTTTATACAAAACTCAAAACTTCAGATTTATGTATATGTATTTTATTTTTTAAACTTTATTATGGAAAATTTCAAGCATATACAGAAGTAGAGAGAATAGTGTAATGAACCCCCATGTACTTATCACCCAGCTTCTATAATTATCAACTCTTGTTTTATCTATATTCAGCCACCTACTTCTTCCAGATTATTTGAAAAATACCCCCAGCATCATATCATTTCATCTATAAGTAATCTGACTACATATCTTTAAAAGATGAGAATTCTTTTTAAAAACATAACTATAATTACATTATTACACCTAAAATAACAGAAATGTCAATGTCAACCAATATCTAGTCAGTGTTCAGATTTCCTTGATTATCTTATAAAATTTTTATCTAATAGGATTTGTCTGTTCAAACCAGGATCCAAATAAAGTCCAAAATATATCAAGTCTGTTTTAATCTAAAGGTTCACCTACATGTTTTTTGTTTCCTTGCAGTTAATTTTCTGTAGAACCAAGTCATTTGTTTATTAGATTGTTTTTCTATATTCTGGACTTTGGTCTTGCATTCCCAAGATGTCTTTATACATGTTCCTCTATCTATATTCATGCTAAGCTTTGATTTCCTAAAGAGCAAGGTATGGATACAGAAATTCCCTGAACATGGACAACCCAATAAATAAGATACCTTGTGTGTGTGTGTGTGTGTGTGTGTCCATCTGTCTTAGCACAGTTTTATGGCTAATTATAAAGACATATGAACATAATATTTATTTTGTATAATCTCACAAAACAATGCATATGTCTTTTAGAAATATTATCATCCCAAAATGTATAACTTAGTATACACTGTCTGGTATTGACATGATATCATCCTTGTGATGAATGAGAATGTCACTAAAATTAATGATGCAATATAACTCTTTTGACTTCTCTTAGGTATTTGTTGAAAGTTCTGAGACTTTGGATTACCAGATGGCCTTTACAGACTCTCATTTGTGGAAACTCCTGGATCGGCATGCAAATACTATCAGATTATTTGTTTTGTTACCTGAACAATCCCCAGGATCTTATTCCAAAAGGACAGCATACCAGAAAGCTGGGGGTGATTCTGGTAATGTGGATGATGATTGTGAAAGAGTGAAAGGACCTGTGGGGAGCCTAAAGTCTGTGGAAGCTATTCTAGAAGAAAGCACTGAGAAACTCAAAAGCTTGTCACTGCAGCAGCAGCAAGATGGAGATAATGGGGACAGCAGCAAAAGTACTGAGACAAGTGACTTTGAAAACATTGAATCACCTCTCAATGAGAGAGACTCTTCAGCATCAGTGGATAATAGAGAACTTGAACAGCATATTCAGACTTCTGATCCTGAAAATTTTCAGTCTGAAGAACGATCAGACTCAGATGTGAATAATGACAGGAGTACAAGTTCAGTGGACAGTGATATTCTTAGTTCCAGTCATAGCAGTGACACTTTGTGCAATGCAGATAATGCTCAAATCCCTTTGGCTAACGGCCTTGACACTCACAGCATCACGAGTAGTAGAAGAACTAAAGCAAATGAAGGGAAAAAAGAGACATGGGATACAGCAGAAGAAGACTCTGGAACTGACAGTGAATATGACGAGAGTGGCAAGAGCAGGGGAGAAATACAGTACATGTACTTCAAAGCAGAACCGTATGCTGCAGATGAAGGTTCTGGGGAAGGACATAAATGTATGTACTTAAAAAGGAAAATACTGCTCAAACAGCATCAGTTTATTTAAATTTTTAGCTAAGAGTTGGGTACTTTATTTCAAATCCACCTGTAACTTCCTGGATTATAAGATTTTCTCTATCACCTTAGCTTTCATTTTCAATGCAGTTATAGTGAACAGGGTTCTTAGACCTGTGAAACACATTAGACCTAGGACAGTAATGATGTCAGAACTCTGGTGAAATAAGTTCTTTTTTAAAAAGAATATTGTAAAAATGAAATAATTATGATAAAAGTACTAATTTTAAAAAGAAATAGTTTAAAAAGTAAATAATATGCATAAAAAAGGACAGACACTTTAGAAAATTCTATACTCATTGTACTGAATGCCCAGGAAATTTTTTTGTGTATCCCCTCCCTTTCCACCACTTCTAATGCAGACAACTCCCTTCTCTCACCCCCTACAAAGTGCATAACTAACTAGGAAAGTCAGAGAAAGGAAAGGTGCTTTTGTGTTTTTAACTAATTAGGTCCAAATAACATCGGAAATGTGACATTTACACATACATCTTGCAGAAGCTCAAGTGAGAAAATGTGAATTGGTGGACCCAAATGGAGACAGAGAAACTCTTATTATAGTAATGCTTTAAATGTCTATGGAGAGTTTTTTTTTTTTTAACCTCATAGGGCTCATTAACTAACATTGTATCATTTAGTTCTCAGTAGCTGTGTAAAATTGGTGTAGTTAGATGCTGTTCAGTGATGTAGAAACCAGCTCAAATAGGTTAAATAGTTTCCCTGAGGTCACACAGCTAGTAGGTCACACTACTGGGATCAAACTCAGGTTTTCTGATTGTATGCCTAGTATGCATTCTTCCACCGGTCACTACTACCTCTGTTCCTTACTTTCCTCACATCACAGTAAAAGAAAAGCAGCCAGTAGCTATTGTGCTTTCCTGTCATTCTCAACCATTCAGGGGCATTGGAGAAATTAAAACTAGCTCCTCTTTAGGGAAAGGTTAGAAAACTTTTAAGTGTTTTAAATTATGTGCTGAAAATTTTTATGATAGTCTTAACCTTAAGAAGAATTCAGGGGGAATACTTAGAATTATAGACTGAGGAATCTCATTTCCATCTTAGAATGGTTAATGAAATCTTTTAAAAGGAGAGTGCTGGCCACTTTAGCCTTTTTGGAAATTCATAGCAGGCTAATTTACCAGCATTCATTGAAATAATAAACATGATGATGAAGAGAAGCTACTTGCTACAAGTTATGTAGGCTTTCAGAAGCCATACAGAAGGCTTGTTTGAAATTAAAAAGTGAAAACTGGAAAGTGCCTTTTCATGTTAGAAAATGGGCTTAGAAATAGGGAAGTAGGGATGCTAACCAGCTGTTTCAGAGTGATGAAATGGCAAGGTACAATAGGTACTCTTGGTGACACTCTGTGTACTATGTAGACAATTCATTTAGGTAATAACCAAATTACCTTTAAAATAATGGTCTTTAAGCTGTTATAATCCAAGAATTGTTTCAAGGAGTAATTATATACCTTTCTCTGAAAATACTGTTCCAGTTGGACCTAGTTGTAGTCTGCAGGCACTTGAGTATAAACAGGAAAGTAAAGGTAATAAAAATGTAGTGCATTTGCACAGAAATTTTTTTGTACAATTTTGGTTACCACTTCACTCAAGAATACATAAAAGAAAGAAAAAAGGAAACCCTAAAGATAGTTGCACTGTGAAGAGACTAAACTCTTTAGTTTGAAGAGGTAGACAAGAAAAATGGAATGATGGTAATCTCTAAATAAAACTATAAAATAATTATACCCAGTCAATTGCACTAACACTTTTGTCAGGGCTATGTTAAGCATTTTACATAAATTGACCCACAAACACATTTTTCGTTATAAATACTATTTTATAATCGAGGTAATTGGAGTACAGAGAAGTTAAGAAGTTAGAGTCACAAACTATATGAGGAGAAGCCAGGAGTTCATTCAGGCCAGGCCATCTAACTCTAGAACCACCTGCTCCTAATCACCATGTTGGACTATGTCACTAATCAGCAAGCATTTGTGTCTTCCTCTGATAACATCATTACTATGAGTTAGTTATGAGAGACACCAAAATGGCAATAATAGCTTATATTTGAGTATGCTGTAGAATTTATTACATTTATCGTAAAAATGATCAGCAAGACTAGTGTAACGATCCCACGAGAAAACAGGCGCTGAAAGATTAGATGACCTATCTATATAGCCATTTATCAGACTAAAATGGTAAAACTGAAATTCAGCCGTTGGTGTCTGCACTTCTCTCAAGAAATTTAGTACCTTCCTGGATAGTGTAAATAGAGGCTTGTTTTCTGTCAGCTAAATTATTACTATTTGAACACTCTTTACAGCTTACAAATGAACATGTATTACCTTGTTTATATTTTCATCTAATTGGTAGTTATGACATTTTCTATAGTGGACCTATATTTAATAGCCAGGACAACAGTAAATGAACATTAATTTATTTTTAAAAATCCACTAAGAAAAATTCATCCCCAAAATTGGGATGACCTGAGAACATAAACCATTAGTGTTATTAGGGCGTCATCCTTGACCTTTGATGTAAATTTCACTGAAAACCAAGGCTGCCCTAGAGAGAGCCTTAGGCCTGCAGGGGGACCATGGGCCTGTGGCAGCATAGCAACTATTATAGTCTACACTGCCTATTATAAAAAAGACAAATGAGTGAAGTTTTTGCTTTTTACTAGACTATAAAGACCAGAGTAAATAGAAACATTCCAGAAATATGCCCATAAGTGGCTCATAAAATAAAGGACAAAAGATTACAATAATAAGCATTAGAAAAAAGATAAAGGTCATCAAAGATCATTCTATTATAATGCCAAGAGAGTGTAAATTGAAGCATGGAGGAGGTGGGAGTTTCCAGTCTACTAAGATACTGTTCCTGTTACAGTCCAGACACATCTTCATATGCTAGTCTTAACATATTTTTTCCTAGCAGAAATCCCAGAACTAGATTTAGTAATACAATTTGAGATAGTTACTAATATATCTGGCACTGTGCTAAAAGCATGATAACTATATTACCTCGTTGAATTCACTGCAATACTGTGAGGTATTATTGTCTCCATTTTTCAAATGAAGAAATGGAGGTGTGGAGGCTGGCAGCTTGCTCCATGTCAAGGAAGCAGAAGAGATAGGGTTGGAACCCAGTCAGAGCCCACACTTGACTCTGTAGAACTAGAAATGTATGTATTTGAAAAGAATTCATGGAAGTTTAAGCACTTGAATACCTCAGAACTCTTAAAGCTGTCAGATTAATCTATCAAATACTCAGTGTCCATATTTTTGTCCATCTAATGTTGTATATTATAAATGACTGAAAGGGGTGCTTTTTCCTTACAGTAAAATAAAAGGTGTATGATCAGTTTTGTTTATACTCTAAGAGTTTTCTTTTACAGTTTTATTTTTGTTTTGTTTTTTTGTGCTTAGGGTTGATGGTGCATGTTGATAAAAGAATTACTCTGGCTGCTTTCAAGCAACATTTAGAGCCCTTTGTTGGAGTTCTGTCCTCTCACTTCAAGGTCTTTCGAGTATATGCCAGCAATCAAGAGTTTGAGAGCGTTCGACTGAATGAGACACTTTCATCATTTTCAGATGACAATAAGGTTGATTAAACTAATTTTGAATAATTAGAATCTTTTAAATGATAGAAATGAGAACATCTTGCATTATATCCAAGTAAGGTTTTCACCCCAAAAGAGTAATTTTTCTTTGATGTTCAGTGGTTCTTTGTTGTTGTTGTTGTTTTTCATTCATCTAACAACAACTTGTTAAATGTTAACTGTGTCAGTTACTGTTCTAGGTGCTGGGGAATCAGAGGTAAAAGATATATATATATACCTGTTCTCAGAGCCCATTATGTAGAGAATTTTGGAAAACAAACTAAACAATTCATGACAATGGGTTGTTTGTTCTGCTCAGAAAGTACATCTAAAAAAAATGTTTTTAATTTATAGATTACAATTAGACTGGGGAGAGCACTTAAAAAAGGAGAATACAGAGTTAAAGTGTACCAGCTCCTAATCAATGAACAAGAGGTAAGTAATACACTTACAAGCAAGATAAGGTCACTTTTGGTAGTTATTAAAAACATACAGTGCAGAAATTGTATTACTAGTAATTTCTTTTTACTTCTGTAGAGCAGAAGTGAGCATACTTTTTCTAGGATGTCTTTTAGTTGTGCAGGCCATTTTGCCTGTGATGTAACTACTCAGTTGTGCCATTGTAGCACAAAAAGAGACATAGACATATCTAAAAGTAATGCGAGTGGCTGTGTCCCACTAAAATTTTATTTATAAAAACAGGAAAGGGATGAATGTGGCTCTCACATCACTTTTTGTTGTGCCCTTGCTCTAAAGTGTTGCTGCAAATGCTGGAGTGAGGCAAAAATCTGCTTTTAAAGGGGATTCGCTTCTGCTTGTTTTCTGGGAATGACTGTATAATGCTGCAGATGGATAGCAGTTGCTCTGTAGAGTACATAGGTTCTTTGTGTGTTCAGAGTGTCATTTTAGTATTTAACAAGCATTTATCTAGTGTTTAACATTTGCTTTAAGTGCTTGCAAGTATTAACTCCTTTAATTCTCATCAATTAACTCTATAACTACTACTATTCCCATTTTATAGATGAAGAAACTGAGGCAGGGAAATTCAGTAGCTTGCACGAAGTCATACAACTTGTAAATGGCAGATTAAGGTTCTAACAGGCTATGTTTTTTAGGGAGTAATCAATAAAATATTTTAGTTCCTATAATACACAAGGCTTGTGGCAAATATCCAGAAGAATAAGACAAAGACCCCATTTTCAGGATGTTTATAATATCTTATTGGGGACCTAGACAAATGTGAAAAACACATAAGGGGATAAATTTTTTATGAAATGCCTTTATTCATTCAACAAACATTTTTATCAGTCACCAATTATATCTCTTATATGTAACCTATTATAGTCATTTTGACATGTTTCTTCCAGGTGTGGGGTTTGTGGATACTATGTCTCTTTTTAGACAATTCATGAATGTACTTGGAGAATAAGTATGCATTTCCCTTATTCTAGTCCATAAAAGTGATTCTTTTTACATTCAAAATTGTTACCACTTTAATACAAGAAGGGAAATATGAATGTGTTATCTTAATCTTATGGTGGCTTTGTGAGGAAGACACTGTCTTCAGCTTATAGGAAGACACTGTTTCCAGTTTCTGAGGCACAGAAATGTTAAGTAGAATTGCCCAAGGTAACCAAGTTAGTAAGTAGTAGAGCTAAGATTTGAACCTAAGAAGCCAACTTAGACACCTAAACTCAGGCTAATAGTTGTCACAGTATAACTTATAGATGTCTTATTAATTATTTTAATGTATGACTCAAGCTCTATTTATGTTTCTAGCCATGCAAGTTTCTGCTAGATGCTGTGTTTGCAAAAGGAATGACTGTACGGCAATCAAAAGAGGAATTAATTCCACAACTCAGGGAGCAATGTGGTTTAGAGCTCAGTATTGACAGGTAAAGTAAAATTACAGTGTCATCAGTGATTTGAAGAAAGACTGTGTGCTCAAATGATATGGATTGGTATGATTAAAAATTTTTGTAGTTTTAAGAATTTTAGTAATGCTAATTACTAGAATAGTAATGCAAATTAATAGAATTAAGCAAAAGTACTAGAATTGTGTTTGAATTTCCTCTGTAGAATACTACTAAATTTGAAGTATTGGGAGCATTTTATTTTTCCCACATTTTAGTGAATAACCACTTAAGCATAATTCATTTTTCCTTGATGTCAGATTTATGTCACTTTTTTAAATCAAGAATTTCAAATTATAGTACTTTCAAATGTCTTATCACATTTGTAGGTTTCGTCTAAGGAAAAAAACATGGAAGAATCCTGGCACTGTCTTTTTGGATTACCATATTTATGAAGAAGATATTAATATTTCCAGCAACTGGGAGGTTTTCCTTGAAGTTCTTGATGGTATTACCAGTATTTTTGTGAGGGAAATGTCAGTTAGAAATGCTCTAGAATTAATAGAAGCCTATAGTTTTTTAAATCAAATAATGAGTTTCTTCTATCTTTTCTCTAGATCCCATTTGCCTTTTAAATGTTCCCTTTTTTTATTTGATATTTTAAGAATGTTATTTCTTCTTACAGAGAAGTTATAATTTCAAGGTTGTATTTTTAGTACTTTTTACAGAAAATTTTTCTAATATTTTTTAGCCATGTTTATTTAGTTTCTTTTTCATTATGGTTTATTTTGTTTTGAAGATGTGCTATTGATAATTTATCAGAGATTTAGAGAACAATGACTCTGTTAGTTTCCTAGGCTGTCATAGTGAAGTACCACAAACTATGAGGCTTAAACAACAGAAATGTACTGCCTCACTGTTTTGGAGGCTGGAAATCAGGTCAAGGTATATCAGCAGTGTTGGTTCCTTCTGAGGGCTGTGAGGGAGACTTTGTTCCATGCTTCTCTCCTAGCTTAGGGTGATTTGCTGGCAGTCTCTGGTGTTCCTTGCCTTGTAGATGTATCATCCTAATCTCTGCCTTCATCTTTACATGGTGTTCTTTCTGTGGGCTTATTTATCCCTATCCAAATGTTCCTATATTATAAGGACACTAGTCACTTTAGGGTTCACCCTAATGACCTCATTTGAACTTAATTATCTCTGTAAGGGCCCTATTTCCAAATAAGGTCACATTCTGAGGTACTGGGGCGTTAAGACTTCAGTAAGTATTGGGTGTAGGGGGCACAATTCAACCCATAACAGTGACCTAGAGGAGGCACTTGTGTTTGTTATACCTCTTGATGTTAATTATCAACATTTGTATATTTAAAGTATTGTTTTTTAGAGGAAGTAGTGGGGGAAAAGTTGGCTTTTAGGAGATGATATCAAGGGAAACAACTCGTTTACTATTTGTGTTCTTTTGTGACTTTGCTGTCACTTAGAAAGATTTTGATTTTTCTTTATTTTTCCATAGAAATTAAAATATTAGGTTCTAGATGTTTCTATATATGACTATGACAGTTTTCAGAGGGCTCAGCAATACTAATACTTCACCTGTTTCAGGCTATTTCAGGTCTAGTTTGGTTTAAATTTTAATAGTTGAAATTCTAAATGACAAGTTATGGGAGACAGGGAAACATCAGGATACTGTGTGCTGTCTTGTGTAAGGCAGTGCTTCAGGTTATTCCTTCTCTGAGTGTCTGTGGCCTTAGAGAATAATCAGTGTGTCTGTCTGTGTAGGCCAGGAAGAGATCATGAACACAGAAGTCACCCTTAGGAAGGATTGAGTATGTATTAGCAGAGATGAATTTGCCAGAAAATGTTACTTACTGAAGGGTGGGTGCCTGCATCAGTATCATTCCAGTATATAGTTTAGCGTCAAATAGTTGAGTAAGAAGAAGGTCGTGGAATTAAATCTAAGAAGCATTTATTGACCTATAATTTGCCAGACACTGCTAATCCCTGGTACTACAAAAATGAATAAGAACTAATGATTGCCCTCCAGATGTACATAGTCTGTGGGTGAACCAGAACTCGAAATCTGTAATTCCAAAGTGATAGGTACTAAGGAGCAAATCAGTACAATTTGTTCTTGTATACACCAGAGAGAAAGGTGACGATTGAACTGGGTTTTGAAGAAACTAGATTTGGGTATAAATGTAAAGAGAAGAATTAATGATAGCTTGAGTGAAAAAAGGAGATTAAGTGAAGACGATTTGATTACGATTTTAGATTATGGATAGTAGCCAATAGAGAAGTAAAGATGGGAGATCCAGAGAAGAGAGTAATTGGTAGAGCAGTGCTCAGCAGGAGTCAGGAGAGAGTGGAATTAGGAATACTGGTGGAAGGAGAGTTTGCAGAAAAGTTAGGAATTATCTTCTGAGACTGGAGGGGAGAGTACATACTTCATTCTCAAAAACTCCTGGGGATAATTGGTTATTTTATGCCCACTTCGTAAGGGTAACACTTGAAGTAAATCTTTGTGTTTAGTCAAGCAACATAGGAAAAGTCAAATTATGAACCTCTAGAGAAAATACTGTGATCGCCTACTCTGGCCTGTTCATAGGGGTGGAGAAGATGAAGTCCATGTCTCAGCTGGCAGTTTTGTCACGACGGTGGAGGCCCTCTGAGATGAAGCTGGATCTCTTCCAGGAGGTCGTGTTGGAAAGCAGTAGTGTTGATGAGTTGCGAGAGAAGGTATGCTCATTTTGAACAAAATCATCTAGTAGCATTTTGTATTTTTCTCTGTGTTGCCTAAGAGATAGCCTAGAAAGTGAGTGCTACATACTGGTCCAGGATCCTTTCCTTCTTTGTCTCTGCCACACTTTTTGACACCCTGGATCACACATTCTAGTTGTTTCTTAGGGCCCCTCATACTTTCAAAATAACATTGACTTCTGGCCGTCCAGAAATAGACCCTCACTTTCTGTTACTTGGATCAACTTTGTCCTATGTAGTTAGGAGTAGTTAGAAGTTACCAAAGTAAATTGCTGTATGTACTTAAGGAAAAAGAAAATGAGTAAGTTAGAATAAAATAGCGAATCCAGAGGAAGGTCTCTTTTGAATGTTTTATTTTAAAGGTGGAATTCTGAGGATCTCTGAGGAAAGAGTGAATTATTTGTAAGTGGTACTAGGACAGCTGGCATTTTGGAAAAAAATTTTTTTTGATACTTCACACCAAATACAAAAATAAATTATAAATGTATCGTTTAATTTAAAATGTAATAAAATGAGGTTGGCAGCAATCTCCTACTTGACACCATGGCTGCCCTCAGACCCCTCCTGAAACCCAAGGTTGTCAAAAAGAGGACCAAGAAGTTCATCTGGCACCAGTCAGACCGATATGTCAAAATTAAGCGGAACTGGTGGAAACTCAGAGGAATTGACAGTAGGTTGTACAGAAGATTCAAGGGCCAGATCTTGATGCCCAGCATGGGTTATGGGAGCAACAAGAAAACAAAGCACATCCTGCCCAAAGGCTTTCATAAGTTTCTGGTCCCCAGTGTCAAGGAGCTTGAAGTGCTGCTGATATGCAACAAATCTTACGGTACTGAGATTGCTCACAAGTCTCCTCCAAGAGCTGCAAAGCCACTGTGGAAAGAGCAGCCCAGCCGGCCTTCAGACTCACCAATCCCAACACCAGTCTGCACAGCGAAGAAAATGAATAGACAGATTGTGTACACATTGTATTTGTGTTAATAAAAGCATAAAATTCTGCAAAAAAAAATGTGTAATGATAAATGATAAATATACTAGATGAAAATATTCTTATAATCCTGGAGAGGTAAAGATATTTGCAAGTATAATACCAGAAGCTAAAAAAGAAAAGATAGACTACATAAAAGTTAAATCTTCTGTACAGCCAAAAATGATTAAAACAACCAATAAACAAAGTTAAAAATAAGAAAGGGACAAAACATTTGAAATATATGAAGCATGATGTCCATAATTTATAAAGAGCTACTACATTAATAAAAGATTAATAATTAATTTTAAAATAGGCAAAGAATGTGAATAAGTAGTTTGTTGAATAAATACAAGTTAAAGCAACAGCATTTTCACCTCTTAAATTGATATAAATTTGGAAAATCAGTGAATAAAGTCAAGGTAACAGGCAATATCATACACCTTTGATAAGTAGTTAAATTGATGTAAATTTTTCAGGGATCAGTTCAGCAATATCAACATTCCACATCTAAGAATTCAGTTCAAACAAATATTTGCAGAAATATGCAGGATATTCATGGAAGTGTATAATAGAGCATTATGACTGGGAAAAATTAAAAACACGCTCAATGTCCGTCAATTGGAAATAAAGTAGATCAGCTATTGAAGAGAATGTGATTACTCCATATCCTATTCTTTTTTTTTTTTTTTTTTTATCCTCACCCGAGGATATTTTTCCATTTTTTGTACAGATAGAGTGGGAGGGAGAGAGAGGAAGGGAGAGAGAGTGAGAAACATCGACGTGAAGGGACACATCGAGTGGCTGCCACCCGCACGACCAACCAGGGCCGGGGACAAACTGCAACCGAAGTACATGCCCTTTGCGGGAACCGAACCCGGGTCTCTCCGGACCGCAGGCCGACGCTCTAACCGCTGAGCCAAACTGGCCAGGGCCATATCCTATTCTTATAATAAAATTTTTATGAATTAAGTTTTATGTATTTTAGAAATGTTTGCACATAATTTATAGATGCATAGGGAAAGGTCTGGAAGGAATATACTAAATTGCTATTTCTGGGGCATGGCATTTGCAGAGCAGATAGAGGAAAGAATTTCACTTTCTGCTTTTTTTCTAATTTTTTTTTTATATTAAATATGATTTTTTTTATTGAGCTGTTTTTATCTTGGGTAAAAGGAAAATAACTCTTTTAACCCAAATTTATATTTTAAATGAATTAATATAATATTTCCTTTTACAGCTTTGTGAAATCAGTGGAATTCCTTTGGAAGATATTGAATTTGCCAAGGTAAAGCCCTGAGAATGTTTGCATTGGGTTACCAGTGCGCAGTAACTGTGGTTAATGGTATGGTTTACTCCTTTTTTCTTTTCCCAGGGTAGAGGAACTTTTCCTTGTGATATTTCTGTCCTTGATATTCATCAGGATTTGGACTGGAATCCTAAAGTTTCTACCCTGAATGTCTGGCCTCTTTATATCTGTGATGATGGTGCAGTCATATTTTATAGGTAACATGCACAATGTTTTTGTTATTTCTAGTGCTATAACATGTTTTGCATTAATGTCTTATTTTCCATAAGTACCTTTACTATTAAGATATAGAGCATCCCTACCAATAGAAATACAATAAGAATTACACATTTTATTTTGAAATTTTCTAGTAAACACATTTTAAAATTTTATTTTTAATAAAAATTTTTAACCAAGTATGCCCAAAATATTATGATTATAACATGTAATCTATATTAAAATAATTATTTGAGATACTTTACACTGTTTTTCTTGTAGTAAGTCTTAGAAATACTGTACGTAGCCCCGGCCAGTTTGGCTCAGCAGTTGAATGTTGTCCTGCAGACCAGAGAGTCCCGGGTTTGGTTCCTGCTAGGGGCACGTACCACAAAAAGAAAGAAAGAGAGAGAGAGAAAGAAAGACTGTATATGTGTTATATTCTAGCACATTTCGATTTTGATCAGGCACACCTACAGGCAATCAATAGGTACATGTGGCTACTGGCTAACATGTTGGACCACACAGGTGTAGAGGAAAAAGGAGTCATTGGAGCCTGGCAGATACAGATTCAAATTTAGCCTTGTTATTTACCAAACGCCTCATCTGTAAAGTGGCAACAGTGATGTCAACCTTGCAAGATGTTATGAGAATTAGAGCTATAACTGCATTTTTAAAAACTGACACAGTGCTTGTTATTAAATAGATGTTCCGTAAATGATAGCTGTTATACTAATAACATGGAAATTGTGCCATTTTTAGAAGTGCTATGCTAATAAACACATCAGATTAGAAGTGCTATGCTAATAAACACATCAGATATCTACAACATCTTAGTGTATGAAATTAATTTCATCAGTGACATTCAGATTTCATTTTCTCACTGAGGAGCATGACATCATTCAGGTATAAATTAATAGAGGCGGCTGGCTATACTGTCCTAATATGTCATTGATATTTTAAATGTAGGGATAAAACAGAAGAATTAATGGAGTTGACAGAGGAGCAAAGAAATGAACTGATGAAAAAAGAAAGCAGTCGGCTTCAGAAGACAGGACATCGTGTAACGTACTCACCTCGAAAAGAGAAAGCACTAAAAATATATCTGGATGGAGCACCAAATAAAGATCTGACTCAAGACTGACTCTGCTAGTGTAGCATCTTCCCTGGGGGATTTTGGTTTTAATTAGACGGTTCACTGCTACTGTGTAGTGCCATTATGGCCGGACGTGGTTAGGGATAACCCCGTGACACCAGCACTGATTGGACTGCCCTTCACCAATCAGAAGCTCAGTGCCCAGTGGGCCACTGTTTTGACTTGGAATCATGTTGTGCACTATAGTGAAATGTACTGTAAAGTGAAAAGGGATGTGCAAAAAAATAAAAACAGAAAGCAAAACCTGCTACTAGACAAGGGAAGGGGAATGAGTAAACGTCTTTTTTGCGGACAAATGTGCACATAGCCGCTAGTAAAACTAGCCTCAAACAGGATGCTCATAGCTTAATAATAAAAGCTGTGCAAAGGCCATGAATGAATGAATTTTCTGTTTATTTCACGGATACACACATTACCTCATTGACAATTCGTAAGTAAATGCAACGTGTGTTGACTCTTGGAAAGCAGCAAAAATAGGAGCTGAAGAAAGAAATTCTTAGAACCAGCCATAACCCAGTAAAAATTGTGAAGTTGTTTCTTTTGTTTCATTTTTTGCGGAGTATAAAGACCATTATTCTGGAACATCAAAACATATCCCTTAGACTGCTCCCAGCAGATGGCAGCTCAAATTGCTGAATATTGTAATTATAACTGTACTTAAGTTATGGATGTAGAGAATACGTTTCACTCGTTCATTCAGCATGTAAATATAATTGATCCTATTGATTATAATTGCAGTTCACCTATTTCCCATGGTTGTTCTTTTCACATGTCATTCATGATGTACATTTGTGTACATTGAGAAGTACAGCAGTCTGTAGATGTACTCCTCAGTGAGGTTCCTCAGTGCTGGGTCCCATGCGATTGTATTTGCCCTTGTTAATGAGGTTTTTCTGTTCAGCGGCTTCAGTTTTATTTCTTTTTGTACATTACTTTTTGAAATATACTTCAAGTTTGAATCTTCTAGAACCCTTGTAAGTCCCACTTTAATTTTGGAGTTGATTTGTAGTTATATGTAGTTTAACTTTGGGGAAACATCTTAACATCGTGTTGAATAAACTTGCTAGTAAGTCAGGTCATAGCACAGGCTGATGCAGTCAACATGATTTCATTGCAAAGCCTATTAGAGGTGGCAAGTTTTTGCTTTGCTAACTATTCAATGAACACAATTATACATAAATTTTGGAAATGCCATCTAATTTATAAAAAGGTTTTGGTAAAACTTTTTCATGCCAGATGCTGTTTACAACAATGAACATGCCAATAAAACATTTGTTCATTCTGTTGTGTTATTTTAGTCATTAAACTTTTGTGGATGAAGAATTTGGGTTAAGAATAGATGTTTTATTTAAATATAACATTTTTGTAATGTGTACTGAATAATTATCTCATTTCTATGATAAGGTATGTTTACAGTAAAGTTCTCATAAGAGATGAAAAGATGTTAATATTTAACTTTGGAGGATCCTGTCAATATTACAAAATCAGATTTTTAAACTTTTTCCTTTTAAGAAATATATAATTAGAAAATAATGTTAGCAGATGTTAACTCTGCAGTTTGAATATAATGATTGAGAATTCCTTAATATAGCTTAAAAGTCTCCTGGCATCCACAAGGATAAAAATCTTTTCTAGGGTATTTTTCTGGCTAATTTTTATTCCATGTAAACTATATAGCATTCTGCTCAATTTGAAGTACTGTTCTGAGTTTGCATTATTGGAATTGGTGGTGTTCTCAGAGGAGAGCTGGAAGCGTTGTGGTGAGCTGTCTTTCAAGATCATGAATTTCTGATGTAATGCGACAGCTCTTTGGTTCTGATTCAGGCCTACTTACCTGGGACATGGGTTTTAATGAACTGAGTTTCTACTTTCAAGGACTGACTGACTGGAGCAGAGGAGGCTGATTTGTAAACACAATTGGCTGTGGACTTGATTTGGTTTCGTTTAGTGTTCCTGTAAGAGTAAATGGTAAAATCCTTCTCATTCTGTGCCTTCTGCCCTGATTTTTGTTCTGTGTTTGCTACTTCTAATTGCAGGCATATTACAAATACCAAGAGTAAAGAAAATGTATTTCATTAAAGAAAAAGTTAAAGCTCTTGCTTTTCAGTGCCTGGTAGAGTGAAAACACAATGTTGCACTTTAGTGATTTCAGTGAAGGGGGTGGTGAACTTTTCAAAATGGACTTGTGATAGGAACGATAATTTATGTAAGGAAGGTAAACGTGTGTCCGCCCCCCTCAAATTCAAATGATCAAGTGAGCACCTATGAGGCCAGGAGGCAAAGCACTAACTGTGGATCAAGGGCCCAAGCTAGGTGGGGCCTGGGGCCTGGTAATCACTCATCCGCTGGGTCTCTGAGGCTGAGGCAGGCCACAAGCAATAAACTGTGACCCTGCTCCCCATAGGTCATACCAAGGTTGTGAAGTGCTTTTACTGTGGTGCAGATGGGTTTTTCTCAACCAGCATGCCCTGTGAGAACCACGTACCTGCATTTCTGAGGCAGGTGCTAAAGACAAGAGGTGCATTCTGGCCAAGGAAGGAAAAGCTGTGGTTTCAGGACCGTGCTGTGGTTACCTGGTCTGTACAGAAGCTCCCTACTGGAGGGTCCACTTCAGAAACTAAGGAAGTGAACGTGATAGTCACGATGAAATAAAAATGGTGAGTGAAGGAGCCCTGCAATCGAATGTTTGGTGATCGATCTCTTTTGTAATATAATAGCAAGTACTTCAAGATTCTGAGAGAGCACCGGTGAGCCTGCAGCACAGCTAGGAAAGAATCCAGTAGCTATTGGTTGCCAGGCTGCACTGTTTGGGAACAGCTTTGTGACATCTCTGGGCCAAGAGAGAAAGAGAGCTACAAACTGACAATGTGGTCCGAGCTAAATGAGTGCACTGGATCTGGAAGTGGCCTGTGAATGTATGCGATACAATAAAATCTTGTTCTGGTTCATTTGCTGGCATTTCCTTTTCAGTTGTCGGAAGTTCTCCCTCTGAATTTTGTCCTTTTGTTCAGCATTGAGACCCTAACCAGCTCTTTTGTGCTTGTGACTTGCAAATTGTAGTCTAGAGTACATGGAATAGAAGAGAATTTGAATTAGCAAGTTTTTTGTTTGCTAAATAAAACTATTCCATCTAAACAATTCTGTGTAATTTTTGGAAAAAAAATCAATACTTTGGTCACTAGCCATCAAAGGCCATAAATTCTTAAATGCAAAACTATGTTTTCCAGGGGGTTAGTAAAAATTTTAAAGTCAGGTTTATAAACAAGTGCATTGCCCAAATAAAGCTTGTAACCACCTAGACTTAAGAGTACATGAAATCAGGTGTTCCTTCGTGTCCTTCACATGGGAGGAGGGGAGCTGTGATTGTATGGTTAGCTACAGGGTTCATTTTCAAAACTTGGCTTTCAGAAACAGTAACACTTGACAAAATCAAGGGTGTATTAATGCAAGTTGTGAGCACTTAGAAAAGAATGGGGCAGTAAGTAGGGCCAAGCTAGGAGGGCAAAACAGCATCGGGTAGAATGCCCTGCTCCCTTCCTCCTCCAGCCAGTGTACAGGAGCCGCTGGTCTGATGTCAGAGCTGAGAACTCACCCACTGGGAATTACTAGTGCGACCTACGGCCCAGCCTGAAAGGTAGCGACCACAATCACACTGCTTCCTTTGCTCCCTACCTGCCCCTCCCCCCGTGCAGAGGGCACACTTAGCTTTCTGTGTTTTTGATAATAATTAACCCGTTTATTGAGTATCAACTTTATATACAAATACGCAATTGTTCTATTTTTCCAAGAACTGTGCCAACCCTGTGTGCTCTGTTGAATGCAGCTTCCCACTGGAAGTCAGCTGTCAACAAGCTCTCGGAGCAATCTGTAACTTTGAAGTCACTTTGCGTTATTAAAACAATCTGATCTTGTTCAAGTTTCAGTCATTTGATTCAAAGCTCCCCCACCACCGCACACAGTGCCCGCTGCCTGTGCTGCTCCATTTGGGAGGGAAGGAGGAGGTGGTCAGGGCTCCCTCCACACCTGCTCTTCCTGCACCAGCTCTGGACTGGACGGGGGTCTGGAGGAAGGGCAAAGACATCCCCTTGCATGCACAGCCTCCTGTTGGTCTCTGAGGTTTCTGTCCCCTTTGGTCTATACATTCACTGTGAAGAGGTGCCCCGCATGTCCTACCAGCCAAGGGCTCAACTCCAAACCACACTGGTGGTCTTTTACGAAACTCGACTCTTGTCAACCTCCTGCTGGCAAGAGGCCTTCCTCTGAGAGGTGTGCCACGCTCCCATGCTGGCCTGGTCCCCACCAAGTCTTTGACCCTTGTTAGATCTCTTTCCATAGCCTTATCTCAGGATGAGTGCTGTCAGAATCCATCTTTTTTGCCTCTGCCCCACTCTAGCTCCTCCAACAAGCCACCTCTGCCTGGTGCTCCTTCGATGGTAAATTGTTGGCAAGTACATGGAACCCATGGCTTCTGCACATCTGTACCCCCTAAAATGTGTAGCTCCCATACAGATTTTATGAGTGCTTGTCTGAAAGTTCTCCCCATGAGTTTTAGAGGAATAAGTCTCATTTCCCCTCCTTCACGGGAGGTCAGTGAGGAAAATATCCTGTTTTCTAACCACGTAACTTCCCCAAAGGGGATTTCTTATCCTTTCTAGTCTTTCTGCAGGACAGCTGTGCTGCTGCTAAATGGTACCTCCGCAAGCCGAGTGCAGAGGTACCTCCCCCACAGCCCTCGGCCTCTGAACTCAGACAGCCAGTCCCTATCAAAAAGTAAGCCCAGAATAAGCTAGTTGCATTTCCTGACTATCTGAAGGGGACACACAGGCCACAGGAATACTTAATGCCCCTTTTCTGATCTCACCTGCTCTGCATCCCTTTCTCCCAACTGTGTCAAAAGCCCGAAGAACCGGACTAGTGAGGCAGGAAAAACCAGACACCGAGGGGGAAGAGGGAGAAGGAGCTGGACAGGAAGAGTCAGTGGCCGGCGTTTTTGTCCTATCGCACTTCCTGTTCGGTCTGCGGCCACGTGGTTAACAGGTCAGCTAGTCTCATCCTGGGGAAGGTCAGGGCAGAGACTCCGAGGCTGGGGCTCTGCCCAAACATGGCATTTTCTTTTTAAGAAATTGATTTATTACAGATGTTCCTCCTTTCCCTCATTGACACCCTCCCCCGCGCCTTCTCTGCACTCTGTCCATTGGTTATGCACAGAAGTTCTTGGTGTATCTCCCTCCAGCCCCACCCCCTTCCCTCTGGGGTTTGTCAGTCTGTTCCCAAATGTGGCATTTTCTAACCTTGCTTTTCCAGAGCTGGACACGGGGTGGAAACGTGGGTGGGTAGGGATCCGTAAAGCTGCACTCTGTGGCCCTTTTGGCTTTTGTTCATCATGCCAGTATCTCCTACACCAGTCAGAGGCGCTTTGGGCTTCAAGTGACGGAAAGACTAACAGCCACGGAATCGGAATCGCAGTGGTTTACTTGAGTCCAGGTGTGGCTGCTAGCAGACTGCTTTTCTCTTCACCACCACCCAGGCCGAGTCTCCGCCTTCTGTGGTGGGCAGAATCATGGCCCCTGAACGGTGTGGTGACGTCTAAGGACTTCCACAGGGGAAGATTACTCAGGTTCTCTAGGTGGGCCCAATCTAATTCTGTGAGTCCTTACAAGGAGAAAACCTTCCCAGCTGCAGAGCACCAGAGAGCTGAGTCAGGAAAAGCACTCTACCTACTGTGGTTGACTTGGAAGGCGAAGGGGGCCATCAACTGAGGAATGAGAGTGACCTCTGGCGGCTAAAAGAGGCAAAGAAACGGTTTCTTCCCCAGGGCCGCCAGGGAGGGACGCACCGCCGACATCGCCCTGGTCCCAACCACGTGACCGCAGGATGGCCGCCCCAGCGCCTGCTGGCACATCCCAAACCCCAGGACTGGGAGGCAGGGAAGGGGGGCGGGGGGCTTTCTTCCTGTACGCCTTTCCTTTGGTCAGTCGGGAAAAAAGCCTTCCCAGAAACGGGCATTCTCCTCCCATTCCTTGGGCCCAGACTGGGCTATCCCTAGTTGCCTGGGGGACTGGCTTTTCCAGCCTCTCTGGGGGTGGGAGGACAGGAAAGAGGGCGGGAATCGCTTTGGGTCCCTGAAACGACAGCCCCTACCCTGCCTTCCCCGGCAGGAACCTGAGAAAGGCAGGCAGGAAGAGCCAAGTGCCAGACTTCATGGAACCCTTGCCACACTCCGTTTAGAATTGTGAGTCAAGGACATGCATCAGCGGCTCTGTGGATTTCAGCCAAGTATTTTGCACAGTCTCTCCTGTGCTTATATTTTTCTGGCTATGATGACAAAGTACAGTGAGATAATATACCTGCATAGGTATACTATGCATTCGATGCATGAGTATTCATGCATTCGATCAAGCTCCAGGAGGGAGGAACCTAGTTTTATCTCATGTACCACTGTCTCCCTGACACTTAATATAGGACCTGACATATAGTAGAGGCTGAATGAAATTTTTTGATTGAAATAGCTTCAGCTTAGTCTCAAAACACTCGCTCGAATTTACTTTGTCTTCCAGCCACTATGAATTACTTGCAGCTCCCCTACATACTATCCCTCCTTCTTGCCTCCCTCCCTCCGCCCATGGCCCAGAATGCCTTTTCCTGTTCCTTCTGGCCTCTTGATCAATTCCTATCATCTTTGAGAGTCAGTTCCCATGTTAGGTCTCCCAAGCCAAGAGCTCCTCTGAGGCACCGTAACATTCTGTTACAGCGTGGGTTGACTGCTACATTACCGGTGTGGGGTTTAGTGTATCTCCTTCAGTAGGCTGTGATGCCTTCAGGGTAGGGACCCTATCAGGAGCAACTTGGCACCCCCAAAGCACATCACAGCACCTGAGCAGGCTCTCTGTAAGTAGCTGTTGAATAGTTAGATTGTAGAGTGGTCCTGATGATTTTAAACACTGAATAGAGAATAGCTTGCCTGGCCGGTGTGGCTCAGTTGTTGAGCGTTGACTCATGCACCAAGAGGTCGCCGGTTCGATGGCCAGTCAGGGTACATGACCAGGCTGTGGGCCGAATCCCCAGTGGGGGGCACGCAGGAGGTGGCCAATCAATATTCTCTCTCATCAATGTTTCTCCCCCCCTTCCTCTCTCTCTAAAATCAATAAAGAAAAAAAAAATTTTTTTAAAAAGAATAGAGAATAGCTCTATATTTGATCTTAAAGTTATCATTTGATTCTGGGTGGCCCATACGTCATACAGTATCACATACTGTTTTCGTTTGAGACCAGCTCTATGACTTAATCTTTCTGAGCTGCAATTCTTCATCTGTTACATGAAGAAAATACTCATGCATTCGATAAAGATTAAATGAGTTAATATACAGACTGCCTGCCACACAGATGACCTAACACAGTAGCTGTGTTATTACTGTCTCTGAAGATCCTACTGTTACGGCCCGAAACTATACTGAATTAAAGGAGGCCCCCAAGAAAAGGGTCACACGCTCCCTTTACTTTTTCAGAAGACGGTGAAATGTCGGTGCTCTTAACACCAATCCCCGTCCCAAAATCCAAAAATGCTTAACATTTCTAAAATAGTTTGATGCTAAAAGGTGTGTTTTAGTTGTCTGGAAAATCTACTTACATGGAAGAGTTTTTTTTACAATGCAAGTCATTCCCATTTTATTTTTTCTGGCTGAAAGGATTTTTCTGTTTACTCAAAGTCAAAGAGAAAAAAGAAGTCCAAGAACTACAAAAGAGACGTTTAAGTGATTTATGCTTGATTTCTAAATGCAACATATGTGTTTATACATAACTTAAAACTCAAAGAAAGCATGCTTATACAATCGTGTGCAACTTTCATATTTAATAACTCTGGATGAATACACGGTGGAAACAGTCCATGGCACATGAAAATATCATTTGTGGAACCACATATATAGTTCAGTGCTCTCGGTCTGGATATTACAACGTATTTCACAGAGCCTTGCTTGGCTTGATTTTCTCCATAGGGTTGATAATGGTCTACAGTTACTGGTAAGTGATTTTGCAAATTTCATTTATAATCCTGGCCCTACAATTACCCAAGTACTGTTTCTGGCAAGTTAATATTATGCTCCAATCATGTACCTTCAAAGTTGCTAATGTAGCCAACTGCCACAGGAGACCGTGCCCAAACCACTTGTCACCACTAGGCTGAGGACCGCCCCACCCCGGGGAGAATGCTGTCTAAGAGTAGTTTACTCTTGTAGAGATGTGTGAACTGGTTTGACCTTCATTTCAGATGTGTCTCAGAAAAAGAAAAATCTCATTCTTCCTCTCTTTGGGGGGTGCTTTTGGTGGCACCAAGGCTGGTGGGGAGCAGTGTGGAGAGCTCTGGGCTTGGAGTCACACCTGGGCGAAACCCTGCTCTGGTCTTCACTGGCTGTGTGACTTGGGCAAGCAACTGGACATCTCTGAGCCTCTGAGATGCTGACAGTTGGGGACAACAACGCCCCCTTCACCAGGCGGGGGTGACAGCAGGACTTGATCTTGGATGTGGAACTGCTCACCTGGCACAGAGGTAGGAGCTGAGTGGCTGGAAAAGCTTAGTGCACGGGAGGAGACAGCAGCGGGCGTCGCAGGGGCAGCCGAGGGCACGGCTTACCTGTGCCCATGGGAAGAACTGCATGAAAAATTCATTTTCACCAGGTGTGTTTGCTAAACAGGGCGCTCTTCTCCACATGTCTGAGCTTCAGTATTTCCCCAAAACCCATCCTGAGGAAACTCTGCACCCTCTCTATCCCCTCCTGGGGGGCACGGAACAAAACGAACGTGCCCTCTGCCAACCAGCAGAGGCAAAGCGCCAGTGAACGGACCTGTTCAGCAGCCCTGCTCCGCCTTCCCCGCCGCCCCAGGCACCAGAACCGTGATGCGCGGTGTGAAGTCCGGGAGCGGGACCCGGGCGCAGCACCTCATTTTGTTTCCAGCCAGAGGGACAGTGTTCTGGGAAGAGGCCATGGAAAAAGCCTGGTGAGCCAACACCTAGAGGACACAGCTGGGGAAATAAATTAGCTACTTCTATTGCACGTCTACCCGCAGGGCGAGCCGGGTCTAGATGTCTGCTCCCTCCAGCAGCTCAGAGGTGGCATCTGGCGCCCCGACAGCCGCTTCCACCGACAGGCTCCTCTCCAGGTCCTCCAGCTCCTGGCGCACCTCGTCGATGAAGCTGAGGTCTCCGTAACTGCTGGGGGCCTCTCTGGGCACCGGGCCCTCTCTGTCTTGGTCTCCGCCCTGGCTCCCCACGAAGGTCGGCTTGCACACATATACCAGGCTGTGGCTGGGAGGGATGGGCTGCGGCTCAGCCAGGGCCACGTCTCCCCTGGGGGCAAAGCGGGGCTCTCCCATGGGGGCCTCTCCCACGGGGGCCTCTGCCTCAGACTGCTATCTGTGGGTCCCCACCCCACCTTCACGACACCTCCTCTAACGCCTGCTCAGGGGCCTTAACTTCCTGTCAACAGCTTTCCTTAGAAACGATGGCTGGGGGCAGCTTCTTCTGGAGAATGTAATCGAGGGGCAGCTCCCCCACCTCTAGGGACAGATCTGTCTTCCTGTCACTGACTCTCTTGGACTCAGCATCGCAGGGCAGACCCTGAGGACGGGGGTGTCTGAGAATGTACAGCCCCTGCCCATCTGGGGCCCCGGGCAGAAGCAGCCCGGGGCGGGATAACTGGCCTAACCACCTCATGGGCTGGGCCTGTGGGGCGGGAGGGTCCGGTCTGCCCAGCCGCCCGGGATGCTGCGGGGAGAGAAGGCTGAGCAGCAGCTGCTGAGGTCAGGACCACGCGCACTGAGAAACGGCCGGCGCCGCCCTGGTGCTGCTCCCTCAGCCCTCGCCCTCAGCGCTCCCCCCCAACCCTCTTCCCAGACACCCACTCACGAGGCTTCCATCACCATCTAGATGAGCCCCAACTCTACCCCTGGCCACACCTTCTCAGCCCTGGTCCCAGAGGTCTGACTGCCGCTGATCCCCTCGACCTGCAAGACCCAAGGACGCCGCACATCAAACCTGTCCTAAACTGAACCCACTTTCTCCCCCTGCTCCTGAGCCCTCACTGGGTGGCATCTCATCCCTTCTTGGTCCTGACAAGGAGGACAGGTGGGGCCTCACCTGTGAGGCTGGCAGAGGAGGCCCCTGGCACACGGGCATCGGTCCAAAGCTCCGTCAGGCTCCAGCTCCCAGGTGATAAGGTCCAGAAGCCGGCTGGCAGGGTCGTGGCAGAGCTCGCCCTCCATGGGCAGGGGTGTGCACACAGGGAACAGCAGACCTAGAAGGGGCCATAAGTCACCCCGGAACCCCAGCACCAAGGCAGGCACCAGGGGAGGGAGCGGAGAAATGGGATGGAGCCTCCCTCTTCCCACCCTCAGGCCCACTGTGGAGGCCAGGGTGGGAGAAGTACAGGGAGGGAACAAGAATGGCAGGGCGGGCAGAGAGAAAGCTGGGAGGGCCGAAGCAGTTGAGGAGGACTGCCTGGAGGGGTGGGCTTCTGCTGGGATTTGAGGCCAAAGGTTTTTAGAAATTAAGAGTGGAGCCCTGGCTGGTTTGCTCAGTGGTTAGAGCGTCAGCCCACAAACTGGAGAGGCCCAGGTTCGGTTCCCGCTAAGGACACGTACCTCGGTTGCAGTTTATCCCCGGCCCCGGTTGGGGTTGTGTAGGAGGCAACCACTTGAAGTGTCTCTCTCACATCAATGTTTCTCTCTCTCTCTTCCTCCCTCTCTGCCTCCCGTTCTATCTGAAGATGAATGCAAAAATGTCCTTGGGTGAGGAAAAAAAAAAGAGTGGAAGGAAAGGGTTCAAGGCTGGAGCACAGCACCAACAAAAGCCTGGGGTCGGGCTCAGGTTGGGGCAGTGAGGTTCCCACACAGGTGGAGCAGTGATGGAGAGAAAAGGAGGATGAGTCAACCCGGCCATCCCAGGCTTGGAAGGTGGACTGGGGGGGGGGGGGGGGGTGTCTAATGAAAGTGGCAGCACAGGCGTGCCGTGTGCCTGCAGCTCCCAGAGGAGTGCTGTCCAGAGAGCCATCCTGGAGGACAACTGCAGGGGTGGCAGGCACCAGGTGCCCCGGGGCGATGGGGAAGGTGCCCAGGGGGATGGGGAAGGTGCCCAGGGGATGGGGAAGGTGCCCAGGGGGATGGAGAAGGTGCCCAGGGGGATGAGGAAGGTGCCCAGGGGATGGGGAAGGTGCCCAGGGGATGGGGAAGGTGCCCCAGGGGGATGGGGAAGGTCCCCAGGGGGATGGGGAAGGTGCCCAGGGGGATGGGGAAGGTGCCCAGGGGGATGGGGAAGGTGCCCCAGGGGGATGGGGAAGGTCCCCAGGGGGATGGGGAAGGTGCCCAGGGGGATGGGGAAGGTGCCCAGGGGGAAGGGGAAGGGGATGGTGCCCAGGGGGATAGGGAAGGTCCCCAGGGGGATGGGGAAGGTCCCCAGGGGGATGGGGAAGGTGCCCAGGGGGATGGGGAAGGTGCCCCGGGGGATGGGGAAGGTGCCCAGGGGGATGGGGAAGGTGCCCAGGGGGATGGGGAAGGTGCCCAGGGGGAAGGGGAAGGTGCCCAGGGGGAAGGGGAAGGTGCCCAGGGGGATGGGGAAGGTGCCCAGGGGGATGGGGAAGGTGCCCAGGGGGATGGGGAAGGTGCCCAGGGGGAAGGGGAAGGTGCCCAGGGGGAAGGGGAAGGTGCCCAGGGGGATGAGGAAGGTGCTGAAGGGAGAGTTTTCTGAAACACCTGGGGGAGGGGAGTGCCAGCACTGACCTCACCTGGAGGAGCAGGGAGATGGGGTGGGAGGGGCCTGTCTGTTCCCAGGGACAGGGCAGGAGCCAGGCACTGCCTCAGGCCTGGGGAGCGAGGTGGAGGGGACGGGGAGCTTGAGACAGGGCTCACCCTGCACCCAGAGGGAGCCACCCACCTCTCTGGAAGGCACAGCACAGCCCGGGCTGGCAGTCCCTCTGGTTGTCACAGATGGTCCCGTTGCTGCCTTTGGTGGCTGTTTCGGTGCAGTGACCCCAGACACACAGCTGGTCTCCACAGCACTCGCTGTCCTGGGTACAGGGCTGGGGAGGTGGGCACACAACACCCGGGCTCAGACCTGGGAGAGCACAGGCTCACCGGCCCCAGTGGGCACACCTGAAGGTACCACAGGCAGGTTCACCCACTTCGTTCCACTGTACAGAGGAGGGAACAGGGTCCTGGGTTGAGGGGACCCCATGGAGGTCATGGGAGCAGGGCCGGGGAGCAGACGTGGGGGGTAGAGCACTGGGACATGACCCTTGGGGTGCATGAATCTGAGCCCTCCCACACAGCTGAGATTGTGCCGCTAAAGGATGTAGTGTCTCTGTGGTTCACCCACACACCCGTGCCCTGCCCTTCCCGTTAGGTCCCTAGGTCAGGAAGGTGGCTAGGGCCCTCAGATGCAGGCAGCACTGAGATTCCTGTAAGCCAGCGGTTCTCAACCTGTGGGTCACGACCCCTTTGGGGGTCGAAGACCCAGGGGTCGCCTAAGACCATCGGAAAACACATATTTCCGACGGTCCCTAGGCGGTCCGCCCACATGCAGACCCGCCCACAGACATGAGGAACTGTGTGAAAGGGTCGCGCAGTAGGAAGGTTGAGAACCACTGAGTGTAAGCTGACTGGTGGGCCTGGGGTCTCACAGGGAATGCAGTTAGAGGGCAGAGAGCTCCCCCACAGCTGTGCTTCATGATGGCACCCCGCTGGACCGGCCAGGAGGGAGGGGCAGCTCCCTGCCCCGGACAGTTGGAACACACAGGGCTGCCTGTGCGCTGCGGGGCAGCAGGCTGCAGAGTCCTGGGCGCTCGGGGAGTCAGCCCCTCGGCCATCACGGAGAGGGCCTTCTGAGGGGACACGGTGGAGCTCCAGGAAGCCCCACTGAGAACGTGGGGTTGCTGGTTTCTCCTCCAGGGCTCTTTTCTGGGCCCCCACAGCCTGGGCTGCAGCCCGGAGGCCTCTGGACACTCACCGTGTGCTGGTCCCGGCACGGCTGGCAGGTGTACCGGAAGCTGGCAAACTGGCAGTAGCTGCGGGACCCGCAGTCCTCGTCAATGATGCACTCCTGCGGGGGGGGGGGGGCAGCTGTCAGGGAAGGCAGGTCAGCACGCCCACCGGACCGCCCACCTACCCGACGCAAAGCCCTCTGATGCCCTGCCCCCACCAGTCCCAGCCCCCGGGGCTCAGGGGTCTGCAGACAACCCAGCCCTGGCCGGCAGGCGCGCTCCCCCCTCCCCCCCAGGCTGGCAGGGCCCTCGCCCACACAGCCGTCGAGGCTGCTGCCCTCCGGGATGCCACACCCAGTGCACACAGTCGCCTCTGTGTGCAGCCCCCCTCACACACCCAGGGTGGGGAGCAGAGACCCAGGGCCTTTCTCCAGCCGTGAGCAGATGGATTTCATGAAGAGAGCTAACGAGTTGCAGGCCCGCCTGGCTGCACAGGAGGGGCTGACTGAGGAGGAAAAGGGTGGCCATAAGCAGCCCACCTCAGGGTCCCGGTCCGAGCTGCCAGCTTCCACAAGGGGGGAGGGCACAGCTGGCACCCCAGCCCCAGCCCCAGCCCAGGTGCTTTCTCGTGGCTGCCAGCCCCACTTGGCTGAGAAATGGAGGCGAGAAGGAAGGAAGGAAGAAGGAAGGGAATCTGTCCAGCACCGAGGCCCAGAGAGGGAGGTCACAGGAGGGTCACTGTGGTCCTGCCACTAGCAGCTGCAGAGGAAAGATGAGCAGGGACGTGGGGAGGCCGTGACTGGACGCACCAAGGACCTGTCACTGGGCCAGTGCAGGCTGGACTCTCGTCCCGACCCCACCGGCTCCTCCAGCAGGCAGCAGTGGGGATCACTGCTCCCGCGCTCCCACTGAGAATGGGGGCTCAGCGAGGCCAACAGGCCCCCGGGACAGGACAGTTAGCTCAGGGCACGGGACTCTGTCCACTCCTAGCCCTTGCAGAAGGGGCTCAGGGCTCCAGATGCAGCCATCGAAGACTTGTAGATGAGAAAAACCCTGCTGAGGCAGGAATTCTGGGGCCCTAGCAAACCTTCCAGAAGACTCCGGGGGGAGGGCAGGACCTGCCTCCCCACTCTGACCAGGGCGTGCTCCATCCTGAACGCAGGCGCGGAGCTGGACCCGGGAGTCCTGATGGGCGGGCCTGGCCAGTGAACTGAGGCAGCAGAGCGCATGGGAACGGACAAGGAGACTGCCAACAGGGCCTCCGGGCACCCTGGGGGCCGGAACATGTGGGCAGGCTGAGGGTCAGCAGGGAGGCCCTCCTGGACAGCTTAGGGAACTCATTAGCCCTGTCACTGGGAAGTGGCTGTTGTCCCTGGTCCAGGTCTGAGTGTACCCTGGCCAACACTGCAGGCCTGACAGGATGGGCATTTGGTCTAGGACCGCTGCAGGCTTGGCTTCTGCAACACCAGCCCTGGTACCGACCCTGGCACACCTCAGAGAGCGGGTCCCGCTCTGCTCACCAGGCGAGGCTTCCCAGCCAGGGAGACTACCAGTCCCCTGGCCTCCTCTGAAGGAGGCAGCCAACTGATGTGTCTCTCACATCGATGTTTCTTTCCCTCCCTCCCTTCCACTCTACCTAAAAATTAATGGAAAAATATTCTTGGATGAGGATTAACCAAAAAAATAAAACGTCAAAGGAGAGCACATTGCCTGCCACCCTGCAAAGTGACCAGAAACTGCTCTTCTCTGTCCACCCAGCGTCTGACTCGTGTCAGCACTGACCACTGTGGCAAGCAGGGTCCTCCCTTGCAAAACGAGTCAGAGTCAGTGTGTGTGTCTGTGCCCATGCCAGCAACCCTAAACTATCAGCATGCCCCCGCCACTGGGGCTCTGGTGGGGCTGGGGTGAAAGGGCTGAGTCCAAAGCTGAGCTGGGGCTGGGCACTCAGTCTGTCTGACCCCAGAGCCCAGATGGCCTGAGAAGTCCACTGGGCTGTACGTAAACCACCAGATGAGCCTTGTCTCAGCCACCACGCCCCCTAGACACAGACTCAGCGGCCAGCTCAGCGGAAGCATCCTGACATTTCTTCCCAAGCAGAACAGCACGGGGGTGGGATGGGAGGGAGGGAGGACCCACAGGCATTGGGTCTTCTCTGAACTGGGCCACATTTTGAAGCACTGGGATGAATATGAGAAGGTCCTTGCCCTCAAGAAATTTATAATTCAATTTTTAAGAAAGGCAACCCAGCCCTGACCAGTGTGACCTATGCACCAAAAGGTTGCTGGTCCGATTCCTGGTCAGGACACATGCCTGGGGTTGTGGGCTCGATCCCTCGTAGAGGGTTTGCAGGAGGCAGCCAGTCAATGTTTCCCTCTCACATAGATGCTCCTCTCTCTCTCACACTCTCTCTTTCTAAAAATTAAGAAAAAAATCTTTAAAAAAATAAAAATAAAAAAGACAACCCAGTAGAAAAGGAAACAGAGGGTATAAAGAGACAACTCCCAGTAACAGAAAACCCTTTGCCTCTCCACACAGATGTTTGATCTCACCAATGATCCAAGACAATGCAACTTCAAAGAGCAGGAAGCCACACTTTCACTTACAATGAAAACAGGTCGATGATAGTGGTGGTGGGTAGCAGACTGCCCGCCCCAGATGTCCACATCCTACTCCCTGGAACCTGTGGACACGTCACGCTCCATGGCAAGGGGACATTAACATCACAGATGGCATTAGGTTGCTGCTCAGCTGACTTGGTAAGAAGAAAATCCTGGAGAACCCAGGTGTGCCCGATGTAATCATAAAGGGCTACGAAGATGGAAAAGCAGCAGAAACAGAGCCAGCGATGCCACGTGGGAAAGACTCCACCAGTCACCCAGACTGGCCTTGATGATGGACGAGAGCCGTGGGCCAGGGAACAGACTGTCCCCTGGAGCCCCCGGAAGGACTGCAGCCCTGCTGACACTCTGAGTTCAGCCCAGCGAGACTCCTGCCGGACTTGTGACTTACAGGACTGTGAGATGATAAATGCGTGTTGTTTTAAAACCACTGAATGTATGGTAAGCCATTCCAGTAGCGATAGGGAACTAATGTAATATCCAGTGTCGCAAGGGATTTGAAGAAATGGGCAGCACCAGACACTGGGGATCACTAAATCGAACTGGATGTTTGAGGCTACACGGTGATAGCATCTCTAATCCAGAAATAACGGAAATGCCCGACGAGAGGGAGCTGATTAAACGGCAGCATAGGCATTTCACGGGCAAATGCCACCAGGCAGACATAAAAGAGGAGGAGATGGTTCTTGGCTCAGTAAGTAAAAGCAGGTGGAAGAACCATGAAACCCCCCTTCGTAAAGCAGGATGACGACAGACACGCCGCGTGGCTGTGCCCAGAGAGCACCTGGCGTAGAGGGGCACTGGGCAGGTATGTACTGAATGGATAAACCACTTGTACTTTACCACGGCAAACAGGTCAACAAAATGCTGATCGTTGGCAGTGATTTGGGAAACAAAGCGAAAAACATGCCCATTCCATTCATTTGGCGGCTTCTTTCCCAAGAATCCTGTCGACATAGAATTTTCGCCATATGCTTCCTCTTCCAGATCTAATTTGACAAAATGTGAGCTAAGACTCCCTGTCCCTAAATCCCTGGGAGGCCCTGCTGTTTACAATTCTTCATCAAGAAAAGTACACACTGATCCTTAGGAATATTTTCCTTTCCCTAAACTGGCTCCCACGCATGACAAAGCGTTCCCTGCAAAGCCACCGCGAAGCAATTAGGTTTTTTTCTAGGTATGGGAAATTTTTTGGCATGGAACCTTGCCAGAGACTTTTGGAAAACTGAAGTACACTAAAGCTGCTGGTTTCCTTGGCCGACATGTTTTTGCTACTACAAGAGGTCTGGGAGGTGAGTTCAGGGTGACCTCCCATCAAGGAAGCTGAGTGCCTTTGTTCTAACAGTCTGCCGACTCGTTAACTGTGCGCCCCCAGCAGCCCCTACCAAAGCTCTTGAAGAACTGTGAGCCTACTGGAAACCTTGGAACTCCACAGTGTGAACCCCAGAGTCCAGAAGAGCCCCAACTTTGAATCCTGGTTCTGCCACTTAATAGCCGCGCGACCTATTTCGCAGGGCTGCTGTGTGGCGTCAGAGCTCTGTGAATGGTGGCCATGGCAACAGCAGCTGTGCATCTGTCCCGCCCGTCCTATGCCCAGTCCCCCGGGGAAGCACCTCCCCCAGGGGACCAGCTTGTCAACAGAGGCAGGTCCAAGCAACAAGGGTAACGTTTCCACCAGTAACTCGCCAGCTCCGTCCTCACACATGGTCTCACATGTCATGCTGACCTCGGTGTGTGCAGGGCGTCTGGACACAGGAGCCGCTATGCTCACAGGAGTCAAGATCCTGGGGCACAGGGGCCTCTCGTGTGAGACCAGGCTTTCTATATGGTAAGGTGGTTAGTCTGGGGTCTCACCTGAGGACCCCTTAGTAGTAGGGGGCAGGTCCCATCTTTCTGGTGTCAGAGACCTGGGAAACAGGTCAGATCCTCCCACCTTAAATTGAACTGAATGGGTGGGAGGGGAGGGCATGGGTGGGTGCCCCCAAGCAGAGCCAGGCCTGGGGCGGAGAAATCCAGGACTTGATTCTTTTCGATAATTCCAGTTCCCTTACCTGTGCTCAAGGCTTACAGTCACAAGCGCGCCAGTGTTTCAAAGGAGGCTCAGCACCCAACGAGGCACAGGATGTCTGAGGAGGAGAGCCCTGGGAGAAGGCCGAGGAGGTTCTCAGTCTGGGGTACCCTCAGACCACCAGCAGGGAAGAGGACTGCATGCTGCACGGAGGTGGAGTTAAAGACACTCACCAGTGCAGAAGGGAGGGTCACCGGAGTGCCCCAGAGCAGGAGGAAGGAGAGGCCACGCCCCTTCAGAGCCTAGGGCAGCAATCCAGGCGCCCTGACACGTCCTGGCACAGCAGCGCCCCCAGTGTCTGCCACTTGTCACTACCTCTCCCTGATCACACTTCAGGGTGTGGACGCTGAGACTGCATGCAGGTGAGGGATCTGCCCAGAGTCACCCAGCTTCGAGAAGCAGTTGGGGGTCCAAGCCCATCGATCTGACCCAA